CTCCTGGATGTTTTCTCGGCACCCAGACAGGAGCTGGGGAGAAGAGATGGCCTGTCTCTAGAGGGCAGTTTAAATACCCTGTAGGTGTGGCCTTGAGCATCTCCAGGGGAGGAGCCACTGTCTGGTGGGAGGAGGTGAGCTAAGGTAGAGCTTCCACCTGAACAATAGTGTCCCAGATTTCCTGGATGTTTGTGACAGAAGTTTTTTATAACATTTTCTTTGGCCCATGTGTCCATTTTTTTATGTCTTCAATGTCTGAATTCTCTTTCGCATCTCTTGTATTCTGTTGGTGAGGCTTACTTCTGAGGTTCCTGTTCAAGTTCCTAACTTTTTCATTTCCAGCTTTCCCTCTGTTTAGGTTTTCTTTCTTTTTATTATTTATGTGCATTTGTGTTTTGCTAGCGTATATGTCTGTGTGAGAGTGTCCAGATCCTCTGGAACTGGAGACAGTTGTGAGGTGCCCAGATGTGAGTGCTAGGAATTGAACCCAGGTCCTCTGGAAGAGCAGTCATTGTTCTTAACCACTGAGTCATTTCTCTAGCCCCTGTTTGGGTTTTCTTTATTAATTCTGTTTCCACTTTCAAGTCTTGAGCCTCTTTACTGACTTCCTTCCACTGTTTGTTTTTTCCATAGATTTCTTTAAGGGATTTATTTCCTCTTTAAGGGTCTCTCTCATATTCATAAAGGCTATTTTAAAGTCTTTGTCTTTGTTAAGTATTGGATCCCCAGTTGCTGGGTTCCTCCACCCATACAATAAGTCAAATTAAACCGAATAAATCCAAATTTAATGAACAGGGCAGTTCAAGGCAGAGACAGCACTACTGGGTGGCCCTCAAGAAGGCAGAGGACAGAACAGGAGGGTACACGTGGCAGATCTAGGCCAGGTCTAAAATAGCCAGTAGGCTTGGTCCCAGGCATCTCCAGGGGAGGAGCCACCTCTGGCAGGCTTTCAGGAATGGGGCAAGGTTTAGGGGGAGAGAGATGGGAGGAGAATTGAGGTGGAGATTCCACCAGAACAGTCTTGTGCTTCAGCTATGTTGCAATACTCAGAGCCTACTGTGGTAGAGTTGCTGGGCTTTAGTGGAGACATATTGTCCTGGCTGTTGTTGACTTTGTTTTTATGCTGGCATCTAGGCATCTGGGTTTGGGAAGATTGTAATTCTAGGTGCTGATATCTAGTCTTGTCTTTGTGGGATGGGTGTTTTTTTTTCCTTGGTTTCTATTGCCCTCTCTGGTTCTTAGGAGTGTGTGGTGACTGGTAGGAAATTCTTCTGGGGTCCTGCTAGGTATGGCGAGGGGGTGGAGTGTTCCATGTAAAATGTGTTTGTAGGTACTGGGAGCTGATACTCAGGAATGAGAATGCACTAAGGGGGTGGGCAGGCTGAGGGAGTCCACAGGAGGGAGGAAAACAGGCTGTTCCAACAAGATCTGCTTAGTCCCCTGGGAATGGGGACAGCGAGTGAAGAGAGGCTACAACTGTTAGTCTGCCACAGAGCTCAATGAAGTGTGACACTGGATATGGAGGAGAGTAGGGAGAGTGAAGATATGAAGCTCCTACCTAACCTGCTTTGCGGGCCTATTTGCTTCTCTGGCAGGCTTGGCTGGCCAGTTCCCAGGGAATGCCTGCTGAAGTTGGGGGCTGGGATAAAGCAAAAATCTGGATTAAAGGCATGTGCCGTCCTATCTAAAAAACCCAGATGAGAAGTAGAATGACCAACTTCAAAGCAAGCAGAAATCCTTTACAGTGCACTCCATTTTTGGATTTCAGTGAATTCCAGATGTAGTCACGTTGATAAGAATAGCCATCACACTTTCCTTCAGTTTCAAAGTCTCAGGTAAGTTTATTGTCCTTTTACAATTGTGTTATTAGGGGGTTGGAGAGATGGCTCAGTGGTTCCGAGCACTGGCTGCTCTTCCAGAGGACCCAGGTTTGATTCCCATCTAACAACCATCTGTTAACTCCAGTTCCAAGGGGATTCAAACTCTCTTCTGGCCTCCATGGCCACTGCAGGCATATGGTACACAAACACACAAGCATTCAAAACACATGAACACGGACTGAAAAGATGGCTCAGAGGTTACGAGCACTGACTGCTCTTCCAGAGGTCCTGAGTTCAATTCCCAGAAACCACATGGTGGTTCACAACCATCTGTAATAAGATCTGGTGCCCTCTGCTGGTGTGCAGATATACATGGAAGCAGAATGTTGTATACATAATATAAAAATAAATAAAATCTTTAAATAAAAAAAAACACATGAACACATAAAAATAAATAAACCTCAAATTTTTAAAATAAATTTGTGTTATTATTAGTATTTTACTTTTGAGGTTTTGGAGATCGATATATATTTTAGATGTGTGCTCCTTGTTTAATGTATGGTTTGTAGTTCTATTCTCCTGTTTGGTAGGTTGTCTCTTCACTCCGTCGGCTGTTTCCTTTGCTGTCTGGCAGCATTTTAGCTTTGTTTCCCCATGCCTCTCTGCTAGCATATTCCTGGGAGGAGGATTTTTGCCATCTGATCATTCATTCATAGGTATTATCCATTTAATTAACATTTATGATATTCAATAAGTATTGATGAGAATAAATTCATCAGCAAGTGAACAAACATATAACTTAGTTCTTATAAGCTTAAATGTTTTCTTAAGCTCACATGAATTTTTGTTTTGTTTTGTTTTGTTTTTCGAGACAGGGTTTCTCCGTGTAGCTTTGGAGCCTATCCTGGCACTTGCTCTGGAGACCAGACTGGCCTCGAACTCACGGAGATCCGCCTGCCTCTGCCTCCCGAGTTCTGGTATTAAAGGCATGTGCCACCAATGCCCGGCACTAACATGAATCTTTTGGTCACAATGTACCTTCATGAGCTGAAGTTGGTGCACACCTATAGCCCTAGCACTTGGGAGGCTACAGTAAACAGGACTATGAGGTAGAGGCTGGGCCTGGCTAGATAGCAATGGCAAGCCCCTGTTTCAATCAACAAAGAAACAGACATCTACCCAGGGTTCCCTGAACTAATTAGTTACCTTGTCATCTCTGTGCTTTTGCTCATGCAAAGTCTCCAGTCTATAGTATACTTCACACTTTTTCTCCCTGATAATCAAGGGATAACACTTTCCTTTAAGGATAAGACCCACCTTCAGTGTGAGCATTTTCCTAATAACCCAGCACTTCAGTGACCTACTGTCATCCTCTATGATTTTTAGAGTCTGTACCTGTTTGCTGCATGTTTCAATAGTAACAATAGGTATTTATTTTTGTTTTGAGAAAGGGTCCTGAGATGAGGCCCAGTTTGGCCTTGAGGCCATAGGCTGGGAAGATCTTCCTGTGTTAGTCTCCCAAAAGGGGTACTGTAGCCTCAAACCACTGTACCACAGAGAAATCCTATTTCACGCATATTTTTCTATCAATTCCTCATTTTATACTACAAGAAGCCCTCAATAATACTCCTTAATTTCTACCATTAGTTAGATTTTTAACTTTGAAACCATCATTATCATAAAAAAATGCAACGCACTCTTTAAAAACTGATTTAGATTGTAATGTAGTTTTTACGAAGCTATTATAATATGAAACTTGGGGCTGGAGAGATGGCTTACAGCTAAGCTCTTGTTATCTGGGCATAGTGGCACACATCCTTAAATCCCTGCACTTGGGAGGTAGAAGCAGGCAGATCTCTGAGTTCCAGGATAGCCTGGTCTACACAGAGAGTTCCAGGACAGCCAGAACTATGTAGAGAGACCCTGTCTGAAAAAAAAATAGCACATGTTCTTCCAGAGGGCCTAGGTTTGATCCCCAGCACCCACATAAAGAGCTCACAACTATCTGTTAACTCTAGTTCCAGGGAATCTTATAGACAGAAGTTTCTGTACCACCGATTCTGCATCCCAAATAAACACACAGAGGCTTATATTAATTATAAACTGTTTGGCCAATGGCCCAGGCTTCTTATTGGCTAGCTCTGTCTTAATTATTAACCCATTTCTCTTTTTCTGTGTATCTCCACATAGTCTTGGCTTAGCTGTGATGCCCGGGGCCTCTCGCTTCCTCGGCTGCTACATGGCATCTCCTTGACCCTGCGTACTACCTTTCTCTATCCCTGTTTGGATTTCCCGACTGGCTAAATCCTGCCTGTCCATTGGCTCAAACAGCTTTATTCATCAACCAATAAGAGAAACATGCAGAAGGACATCCCTCTTCTGGCACATAATGGACAGACTTATGTGCACACAAACCACTCATGTACAGCAAATATTTTTTAAATGAAAATAGCATCTGTAAGTAGAAGACTGTCATACCAGCTGTTGCTAAATAAACACACAGAGGCTTAATATTAATTATAAATGCTCAGCTGATAGCTCAGGCTTGTTACTAGTTAACTCTTACCACTTAAATTAACCCATTTCTATTAATCTATGTATTGCCATTTGACTCATGGCTTTACCTGTCCTCCAGCATGTCTTGTTCCCTCTGCGTCTGCTGGTGTCTCTCTTACTCCACCCTTCTTCATCCCAGCATTCTTAGTTTGGTTGTCCATCCTATACTTTTTGTCTGGTTACCAGCCAATCAACTTTTTATTAATAATGATAGCAACACATTTTCACAGTGGACAGCATTATTCCACAACAAGCATCTCCACCAAATTTAATTGTAAAGTAACATTTGTTTGTATGTCCCTATGTAAGTGTTCCAGTGTAAAGAGTTGTATTTGTGAATGGTTGCTTGTTGTTCTATAATGGCTTGGTCTGTTTTCAAAGGCAAATGTCATAGTGCACCCCAGGACACCTGTGTTCACACCATTGGTTCTTTGAAACTATATTTGGATGTTCAAGCTATTAAAAGCTTCATGTACTTAGTGACCTTCCAGGCAGAGTTTAGATTGGATGCTCCCACGTCTGCTGCTTGTTGCTGAGTGAAAAGCAGCAAGAAAATCCGGAATCTCAACCTCTATAGTGTTTTCATCTTGCTTTGTTTTATTTCCTTTCCTTTTCCTAAAGAAGATGAATCATGAAACCACAACCCTGGTATCCTTGAAGGAAGCAATGACAAGGTGGCTTAGGGTTACAGGGAGGGAATAAGCCAGGGTCTTCTGTTCTCAGAAGAAGGGGAGTGAAGAATGAAAAATAGAAATAAGCAAAGAATAGGAGACATACTAATTAGAGTTATGTTTGCCAAAGTGATTTGAGTCTTTTTTAATTTATTTATTTTCATTGTATGTGCATTGGTGTTTTCAGGTCCCCTGGAACTGGAATTACAGACAGTTGTGATCTGCAATATGGGTGCTGGCAATTGAACCCGGGTTCTCTGGAAGTGCAGACAGTGCTCTTAACCACTGATCCATCTCTCCAGCCCAAGTGATTTGAGTCTTGCAGATTCAAAAAATATGTAAACTGATAACAAAGAAAAGTCTGGGGTGGGGGTTGTGACTTAGCTCAGTAATAGAATTTTTGTGTAGTTGAAAGGCCCTGGTTTTTAAATCCTCTGCATCTGCATGTGCATGCGTGTGCATACACACACACACACACACACACACACACACACACACACACAATCAAGAAAAAATTCTGCTTTACTATGCTATTATTCCATTCAATTCATGCTAGATTTGTAGAAATAAGTAAAATGTGGCTGTTTCCCTCAAGGAGCTCATAGCCTATCAGAATAGAAGAATTATTTTTTAAGGTACAGTTTAATACAAGTGACCTTATATTGATGATGTCCCTAAAAGACTAAAGGAACATGAAGGACAGATCAATCCATTTTGCCTAAGAAAATGGCTCTTCACAGAGGGATACTTTAGCTGGATCATAGCATCTGAGTGAGTTTGTGAGGAAAAAAATATGGGGAAGAATTTTATAGTGAGGAAACTACATTTTGGCTTCATAAAAGAATGGAATTAGAGTTTAGCATCTAGAATGTGTAAGACGACTCACACAGGCATTATGCTTACTGAGGAGATCCAATTTGTCTCTAAAGTCAGGTGGCATAAAAGATACATTTTTAGCTAAGTTAAATAATCACAATAGGGCTAGAGAGATGGTTCAGTGGTTAAAAAACACAGACTGCTCTTCCTGAGGTCCTGAGTTTAATTCCCAGCAATGACATGGTGGCTCAAACCATCTCTCATAGGATCTGATACCCTTTTCTGGCATAAACGTGCAGATAGAGCACTCATGTACATGAAATAAATAAATAAATCTAAAAAATCATGACAACAGTATTTTAGAGACGTGTGTGAAAGATGAAGACTGAATCAAGGACCCGGTAAGACTACTACAGTCCTAAGACCAGGTGAAAGATGGTGGACTGGTTTTCTGGGTATGACAAGTAGGAGATGGCTTAATAGATACCAGTTGTGGGGGAGGGGCTCAGAATTATTCTTAGATTTCTAATTCGAACCATTGAATAAACTGTGAGGCTGTTAGCTGAGCTGGGGAATTGTGGTAGCAAACATTACACTCAGGTTAAATTTTTAATTTAAAAATTCTTTTTAGATTCATTTATTTTATGTGTTCCACATGTGTGCCTGGTGCCCTCTGAGGTCAGAAGAGGGCATTGAATTCCCTAAAGCTGGAGCTTTGAGCCATCATGTGGGGGCTGGAAGTTGAACCAAGGTCTTCTACAAGAACAAGAACACTTACCTACTAAGCCATTTTTCCAGCCCATTTTTTGTTTCTGTCTTTGCTTTTTTTAAAAGATGTTTGTGTGTGTGTGTGTGTGTGTGTGTGTGTGTGTGTAGCCCTAACTATGCTGGAACTAGCTCTATAGATGAGGCTGGCCTAAAACTCACAGAGATCTGCCTGCCTTTGCCTCTTGAGTGCTGGTATGAAGGCATGCCCACCATCACCTGGCTTCATTTTTAATATGTATGTATGTATGTATGTATGTATGTATGTATGTATGTATGTATTTGTGTGGTTGGAGGAGTGCATGCCACAGGCATCCATATAGAAGTCAGAGGAAAACTTAAAGGTGCTGGTTTTCTCCTTCAACCATATGGGATTAAGGGATTGAGTCAGGTCACCAGCTCAGCAGCAAGCACCTTTACCTGCTGAGCTGTCTGTACACTATTAGAGTAGTCTGGCCGGTTGTGGTGGTGCATGCCAGTAGGATTTGCTGAAGGAGGCAGAGGTAGGAGGATCACGAGTTTGAGGCCAACCTGGGCTACATATTTTAACCAAAAAAAAAAAAAAAAGCTGGGCGGTGGTGGTGCAGGCCTTTAATTCCAGCACTCGGGAGGCAGAGGATCTCTGTGAGTTTGAGACCAGCCTGGTCTACAAGAGCTAGTTCCAGGACAGCCTCCAAAGCCACAGGGAAACCCTGTCTCAAAAAACAAAACAAAACAAAACAAAACAAAAACAAAAAAAGATGTAGAGTAGTCTGAATGTCTTCTGGCAGAGTATTCCAATGAACTGCAATTCTAAATTGTTATCACAATTTATAGCTAGGGTTCAGCTATATATGATCTTAAAATTATGGCTTAAAATCTAAAAGTTAAAGCTGGGCAATGGTAGTGCTTGCCGTAGTCCCAGCACTCAGGAGGCAGAGGCAGGTGGATCTCTGTGAGTTCAAGGCCAGCCTGGTCTACAAAGTAGTTCCAGGACAGCCAGAACTGTTACACAGAGAGCCTTGGGTTTACCCTGGCCTGAACTTACCTTTGATTCTTTAATCCTGTAGAGTAGACAACAAGCTCCAAGCTCTAGAAATACAGTTCAAAGAACTAGATGTCACCAAGGATAATCTGATACAGCAATTTGAACAACACAGCAAGACTTTGGCAAGCCAAGCAGCCCAAGATGAAATATGGACAGCAGTTCTGACCCTTGGGTGAGCAGTGGTTGAGGATTCGTGGCTTTTGTGGCTTTGTGAGAGATTTCAGTGACCATTCCCAAACTGAGTTCAGTATGTCCCAAAGGTATTACTTATGCTTGGGGTCCTTCATTCAGAAAAGGTTGACCTGAACACCTGTTTTTATGCCAAGCACCACAGTATCCCCCTTGTGAGTCTCTTACCTGCTGGTCTTATTGACATGGATGAGTAACAGAATTCCCTCACCATGGGAAGCTCATCCAATGGGTGGCCTGAGAACTCAGCCATAAGTTTGGTGCAGGCCATACTTTTAAAATGCACAACTGGTTTTCTCATGGGTTTACATTGAGCCAACCTAATCAAATGTAAGTTATGTCCAGGACAGCCTCCAAAGCCACAGAGAAACCCTGTCTCGAAAAACCAAAAGAAAAAAATGTAAGTTATGTTTGTACACAAAATATTCCATTTAAGGGCTGGAGAGGTGGCTCAGAGGTTAAGAGCTCTGACTGTTCTTCCAGAGGTCCTGAGTTCAATTCCCATCAACCACACGGTGGCTCACAACCATCTATAATGAGATCTTGTGCCCTCTTCTGGTGTGCAGATATACATGGAAGCAGAATGTTGTATACATAATAAATAAATTTAAAAAAAGAACATTTAAAAAAATATTCCATTTAAAGAGCTTTCCACATTTTTCATAGGTTTACCTCAATGGAACTGAATATTTTATACAGCTATGTCATTGAAGTCCTCATTTGCTTGCACACTCGAGTGCTTCAGAAGCTTCCAGACCTGGTGAGAAGTCTTCCAACCTTAGCCTCTGTCTTTAGACGAAAAGTCAAGAACAAACATGTTAGAATTGTGTGGGAGTCTGTCATGGAGGAGTATGGGCTGCAAGAGAGAGATGTCACAGCACTCTGTACCTTCTTCATTGCACATGGCAACAAAGCAGAACACTATGCTGCTAACATAAGACAGACATACATCAAAGATGTTACGTTCATGATCACCAATATGGTAAAAAACCAGGCTCTGCAGGATGCTTTGCTTCGGGCTGTTCAGGTCATCGAGAAGGGGAAAGCAGTGAGGACCCCTGAAAACCAAAGAGCATCCCTGAAAGAGTTGATGCCATCAACCAAAGATTAATCTGTTTTATGGGGATGTCCTTCTGTATATATGTTCTCTTATTGGTTGATGAATAAAATACTGTTTGGCCAATGAGAAAGGAAGATAGGCAGAATGAGGAGACAAGGAGAATTCTGGGAAAGGTTGGCAGAGGGAGCCAGACACAGAGTATCTATGCTGCTGAAGGAGTAACTACATGCCCGGGCATTACTGGGTAAGCCACAGCCTCGTGGCAATACATAGATTGATAGTGAAAGACCGCTGGAGGCTCAGGCCCCCAGGATCTCAGCCCCAGGACTGCGGTCACCCCAATCACCAGGCGGAGTCGAAAACTTGATGCAAACTGCAAGAGGCTTTATTGCAGTTGTTTAACGAGCTAACCCCATGTTAGCTCAGGCCTTTCACCCACCCGCCATCGTGGATTGCTAGAAAAGACAGCTCGAAGTGTCTGCATAGAGATCTTGTAGGGCAGCGTAAGGGGAGTGTCTAGGGGTACTGCACAGACTCAGGATTGGTGTACCTCAAGGCTTGGAGGGTTTGCCCTGTGTTGATTGGTCAACTGGTTGTTATGGCCCATAGGCCCTCCCAAGGTGGTTGCTATGCACTTGCCCATAAAGCACACCCAGAGCCGTAAAGCATAGCACCACCAGCTAACTTCTAATTGGTTCCTTGCCATGAGGCAGGCATCTGACCTCCTAGTGATCAAGGCAAGGTCAGGGCAAACACTTACTGTCATGGCTGCTGAAAGGGGCAGGCATCTGACCTCCTAGTGACCAAGACAAGGTCAGGCAAGTGTTCCGCTGTTATGGCTGCCGAAATGGGGAGCTGGTCCCTTCAATAGAAATGGGTTAATAATTAAGACAGAGCTAGCCAATAAGAAGCCCTAGCCAGGGCTGGAGAGATGGCTCAGTGGTTAAGAGCACTGACTGCTCTTCCAGAGGTCCTGAGTTCAATTCCTGGCATCCACATGGTGGCTCACAACCATCCGTTATATCTGGTGCCCTCTTCTAGTGTGCAGATATACATGGAAGCAGAATGTTGTATACATAATAAATAAAAACTTTAAAAATAAAAAAAGAAGCCCTAGCCATCAGCCAACAGTTTCATAATATAGTGTGTTCATTTGGGGCTGAAGCAGCTGGACAAGGCAAGAAAAAAACACCAACACCTGTAACTCTATGACTCAGAAATTCCGTTTTCAGTCATTTGTATTTCAAAAACAAAAAATAAATGATTTAATTAGTGTAGGTTTATTTTGTAGCAAAAGTGGGAGGAGCAATAAAGACATTATGACAAATTGATACAATGAATATTTTGTGTGTAGCCACATTTAAAAAATAGGCAAAATTTTATAATGAAATAGAGTCCGGGGGTATAGCCCAGAGTGAAGGAACCAGCTCCTCATTTCGGCAGCCATAATAGCCGAATGCGTGCTTATCTGACCTTGTCTTGGTCACTAGGAGGTCAGATGCCTGCCTCGTGGCAAGGAACCAATCAGAAGTTAGCTGGTGGTGCTATGCTTTACAACCCTGGGTGTGCTTTATGGACAAGTGCACAGCAATGGCTCACAGAGCATAGCAACCACCCTGGCAGGGCCTATGGGCCATAACAACCAGTTGACCAATCAACACAGGGCAAACCCTCCAAGCCTGGAGGCACACCAATCCTGAGCCTGTGTGTACCCCCTAGACACTCCCCTTACGCTGCCCTACAAGATCTCTATGCAACTGCTTCGAGCTGTCTTTCCTAGCCATCTGCCATGGTGTATGCATGAAAGGCCCGAGTTAACATGAGGTTAGCTCGTTAAACAACTACAATAAAGCCTCGTGCAGTTTGCATCAAGCTTTCGACTCCGCCTGGTAATTGGGGTGACCATGGTCCTGGGCTGAGATTCTGGGAGCCTGAGCTTCCAGGGGTCTTACAAGAGTACATGCTTTGTATGCATGAGGTCCTGGTTCAATCCCTAATACCACAAAAATAAATAATAAAATAAATTTATATGGAATCATCACTCAGATATGGTGGTGTTTTGTTGAAATATTTATCTAATGTTAAGTATTAAAAGGGGGCAAACTGAGCCAGGCATTGGTGGTACACGCCTTTAATCCCAGCACTATGGAGGCAGAGGCAGGTGGATCTCTGTGAGTTCGAGGCCAGCCTGGTCTCCAGAGCGAGTGCCAGGATAGGCTCCAAAGCTACATAGAGAAACCCTGTCTCGAAAAACCAAAAAGGGGGAGGGCAAACCAACTATATATGCATATCTATAATATTTTTAAAGATATTATGCATTGCCCGGCAGTGGTGTCGCACGCCTTTAATCCCAGCACTCCGGAGACAGAGGCAGGCAGATCTCTGTGAGTTCGAGACCAGCCTGGTCTACAAGAGCTAGTTAAACCACTCAGAAGGTGCCTTATCCAGATGAGGAAGACAGGAGACTCATATTCACCCAGTGTACTAAAAGATTATCTCAACAACAGATAGAGTCTGGATACTTTCTGCCAAGCTGTGGACCTTAAGTCTTTAAAGAAGAGGGCTGCAGGCATCAGGGTTGTGACATTAGAAATAAGTGTAAATGTCAAATTGTCACAGGTCCGAGGATTCTCTGTCTCAAACTTTCAACTTTCCATTGAGATCAGCCTTCTAACAGATTTACAGGGGAGCTGAGCCAGAGTCTGTTAGACCTGGAACTCTATGTTGCCTGAGTTGGACTTCAGCTTTAGATCCCCTTGCTTCTGTCTCTACCTTTATCACCTAAAGGTTGGGATTACAAAACACATGTGACCACACCTCTCTCAAAATACTTTTCTTTCTTTCGTTTTTTAAAAAGGTCTCTTTGAGTAGTACTGGTACCCACTGTGTAGACCAGGTTGGCCTCTAACTCAGAGATCCTCCTGCGTCTGCCTCTGAAGTGTTGGGATTAAAGGTGAGTGCCACTATTGTTCTTTTGTTTCAAATGCTAGGATAAAGCTGAAAGGGGGTCCTGCGTGGGGGACCGTGGCAGATTCCATGGCTGGCAAGGGTGACCAAGGCGGGGGACAAACATGCCAGGTAGATAGAGCTTAAGTGAGAAGTTTCATTAGAAAAGGAAGGGAGGGGGCAGGGAAGGGGAAGGAAAGAGAAAAGAAGTAAAGAGACACAGAGGGAGGGCAGAAAAGCAGAAAGAGAGGAGAACGGAAGAGCAGAAGAGCCATCACCTAAGAGAGAGCAGGAAAAGCAGAGAGGAGAGCCGGAAAGAGCAGAAAGAGAGCGTAAAATCCGCCTGCCTCTGCCTCCCGAGTGCTGGGATTAAAGGCGTGTGCCACCGACGCCCGGCAAAGCAAAAATTTTTTTAGCTGAATTTGTTGCAATTTTTTTTTCTTTTGGCCCTAAGAACTTTGGAAACTTTGGTTAGGAGATACAAAATGTAGTTCTAAGAGTACTGAGAGAATAATTATCAATATTACTGCTTGGATCTTGCTTAGCGAGTTCACTTTTGAGCCAGTGACTAACCAAAATTTTCACAGCCTACACGGATGAAACCACCTTAGACTGGTGGAGCTGCGACAAGCAGATAGGGCTCGACTGCGCGCGCGCGCAGCTCCCGGAAGCCCCGCCCAATCGAGAGGGTGCTTGGGTAAGGAGGGCCGTTTTGGCGGGGAATTGTGACGTCTGTGGACGTGTGTACCTGCTCCTGCCGCCGCCAATGAATGGGCCGGCGGCGCAGCGGATCTGAGCGGCTGGGTCTCGGGACCCTCCGCGAGGCGACCAGGAGCTGTAGCGCGGGGACTGTAGCACTGCCTCCGCCTCAACGGCGAGACGGAAGCCTAGCGGCGGCCCGAGCCCGACCTCCGGGCGGTACGAGGTGCTCTCGGAGCGGCGGTCCCCGCTTCGGGACCCGGCAGTCCCGGCGGCCTCGCCCGAAGAGGCGGGTGCTCCCCCGCTGAGGTGAGGAGGGGAGCTGGAGCCGACTGTCCGCCCCGCGGGGAGCCGGAACCACTCACCGACCCGAGCCGGCTGCGCTCTCGAAGGAACGTTCGTTCATTCCCTTGCTGGACGCAGGGCATAACTGCTCGCCTGTTTGCCTCGAGCCTCGGGAAGGTCAGCCTGTCTGGATTCCAGTACGCTGCCTGTGTGTCAGAGTAAATACCAAACCGCTCGCCGGCTTCCTTCGTACCGTGGTTAGCCGAAAGGCTGGTTTCTTTGAGCTCTTGACGTTGAGTAGGCCTCGTGAGCGTCTGGAGATGGCGGCATCCAAAGAGGCCATCCCTTCCTTAGCAGAGTGTCAGTGCGGCATCTGTATGGAAATCCTAGTCGAGCCGGTAACCCTTCCCTGCAACCACACGCTCTGTAACCCGTGCTTTCAGTCAACTGTTGAAAAGGCCAACCTGTGCTGTCCCTTCTGTCGCCGCCGGGTCTCTTCGTGGACTCGGTATCATACCCGAAGAAATTCTCTTGTCAATAGAGACCTGTGGGAGATTATTCAAAAACACTATGCAAAGGAGTGCAAGCTTAGAGCCTCTGGGCAGGAATCAAGGGAAATCAGTGAGTAAAATTCAACATGGTTTTGGGGTTAAAAAGAAAAAAAGCCCAAAATGGTTTAGAGAGGTATCCATCACTTTTCTATTTAAAGAAAAAAGGTGTGTGGGGGAGGAGGGAGGTGGTGGCGCACGCTTTTAATCCTTGGGAGGCAGAGGCAGAGGCAGGCGTATCTCTTGAGTTCAAGGCCAGCCTGGTCTATAGCGCTAGTTCCAGGACAGCCAGGGCTACACATAGAAACCCTATCGCGGGGGGGGGGGGCGGGGGGGGGGGGAAGAAAGAAAAGAAAAAGAGGACTAACTAGTCTAAATTGACCTTGGGGATTTGTGGTTTTGTGAACCCCGCCCCCATATCGGTTAAAGGCAAAGGCAAATTTTTTTTATCACCTGTAATAATGCTCAAGTTGTGTTCACCAGCTGTGAATTGAGTTTTTAAAATTGCAAAAAAAAAAAAAAAGAATCGCCCCTTTAGAGTTGTCTAACTTCTCAAAGAATTGTGTGGTCAAATTCCAGAGTTCTTTGGCTTTGCATTACTTTCTCTGACCTGTTTATTAATTTCCTTCATTTTATGCTCCGTCCTTAGTATGCAGCAAGCCAAAAATAGATTCCAATTGCCAGTTCCATCTAGTTCAGTCATTTTTGGTTGACCCCTTCCATTCTGGGGGTGCAAAGAGCTACAAACTGATCCCTAGTCTTTAACACTATACCAGTATTACAAGCCATTCAGTATTTCCTTTGGGGCCTGAATGTGGTGTTGGTCTGTAGAGTACCTGCCCTTTATGTGTTTCAAAACACACACACACACACACACACACACACACAGAGGTGACTGGGAGTGGTGGTGCACACTTTTAATCAAAGTACTCAGAGGCAGGGGCAGGTGGATCTGAGTCCAAGGCCAGCCTAGTTTACAGAGAATTCCAAGACCTCAAGGGCTACACAGAGAAACTGTGTCAAACAACTAAACCCCCACAAAATTTCCCGTCTTAATCATTTTAAGCAACAAATCTTGAACAAGAAACCCCCAGTTTTGTAGAGATGCATATGGTAATAGTCGCCTATTTAAAATACTGCTTAAAGCAGGGTGTAGTCCTGCATGCCTTTAATCCAATCACATGGGAGGGAGAGTCCAGAAGTCGGATCTCTAAGTTGAAGGTCAGCCTCCTCTCTTTATTTGAGCTCCAGAACTACAACAGAGACTTTGTCTTAAAATGGCACACACCTTTATTCCCAGCACTGGGGAGGCAGAGGTAGGTGGATCTCCAAAGTTCAAAGCCAACCAGAGAGAGCAAGCATTATGTGCATGCAGGAACCCTTGGAGATCAAGAGAGGCATCAGATCCCCCAGAACTACAGTTAGGACAGTTGCAATCAGAAATTTCTTCTTATTCTTTTTTTTTTTTTAAGATTTATTTATTTATTATGTATACAGTGTTCTGTCTGCATATATCCCTGCAGGACGGAAGAGGACACCAGATCACATTACAGATGGTTGTGAGCCATCATGTGGTTGCTGGAAATTGAACTCAGGACCTCTGGAAGACCAGCTAGTGTTCTTAGCCACTGAGCCACCTCTTTAGCCCAAATTTCTTATTTTTTTTTTAAAGTTCACTTGATAAATAAAAATAGCCAAGATATCAAGAGAGCAAAAGGCAGCCCACAAAATAGAAGAAAAATATTTGTAAATTATAGATAATAAGAAAACAGACAGCAAACATTTGTAATTCTAACACTTGGAAGGCTGGGGCAAGAAAGAGGTCTGCTGCAAGTTTGGGACCAGCCTACGCTATGTCAAAAGAGTCTGAAAATGGGGCTAAGAAATGGCTCATCAATTAACAGCACTTCTCACAGAGGGGACTGGGTTCAATTCCCAGCACCCTCACCAGGCACCTCCTTATAACTCCAGCTGCTGAGGATCTGAGGTCCTGCCCTCTTCTGGTCTCCATTGGTGCTTGCATGCCTGTGCTGAACATAAAACTCACAGGCATACACACGTGTGGATAAAAATAAATGTTTCTTTACAAGGAAAGAAAACAAGCGATGGAGGGCAATAATGAGACACACACATCTTTAATCCCAGCACTCGAGAGGCAGAGGCAGGCAGATCTTTGAGCTTAAGGCCAGCCTGGTCTACAGAGTGAGTTCCAGGACAGTGAGGGATACTCAGTGAAACCCTGTCTCCTGAAAAACCAAAAAGAAAACATTTATATATTAGTTTCCTAAAGCCAGAATGACAAAGTACCACAAACTAGATGACTTAAAAAATTTTTTTTTCTTACAGTTTTAGAGGCTAGAAGTCAAGATGTAGCCTTGACTTTTGAAATTGGAAACAGAACTCTTCCTCGCTTTTATGTGTATTGGTGTTTTGCCTGCATGTATATCTTTACCATGTTCGTGCCTGGTGCCTGCAGAGGCCAGAAGAGGATGTTGGCTCTCTTGAAGCTGGAGTTACAGGTGGTTGTGAGCTACTGTGTGGGTGCTGAGAATCAAACCCAGGTCCTCTCGAAGAGCAACAAGTGCTCTTAACCACTGAGCCATCTCCCCAGGCCCCCTCTCTGCATGCCGTGATACCATCTCCCCAGGCCCCCTCTCTGCATGCCTTGATACCATCTCCCATCTGTGCATGTTTGTCTTTGTTCAAATTTGTCTCATATTTACAAGATCACTAGTCATAATTAAGATTCACCCAATGACCATACTTGAACTTTACCTCCAAAATGATCCTATTTCCAAATAAGATCCTATCCTGAAGCACTGGAGTTTAGAATTGGAACACAGCTCAACACAATATCTAATGTTTCCTCTCAGAAGAACCACAAAACATTAGAGAAGCAAAACTTAGCTGGGCCTGGTAGTTAGTGGCACGTGCTTCTAATTACAACACAGGAGTCTGAGGCAGGAGGATCACAAGTTGGAAACTTGTCCTTGTCTCGTTTTTTAAAAATTATTTTTCCCCTCTTCCTTAATCTCTTAGTATACTATTAGGGGTTACTTTTTGTTTTGTTTTGTATGCTGTTGGCAACTTTTTATGTCCTAGGGCCTGATGCATGCTAGATATGGGTTCTGCTGTTGAACCACATCCCTAGCTCTGCCTTTTACAGGTGGTTTGGTTTGGTTTGGTTTGGTTTGGTTTGGTTTGGTTTTTTGAGACAGGGTTTCTTGTGTAACACCTCTGGCTGTCTTGGAACTTAGTTTGTAGACCAGACTGGCCTCGAACTCGAGGTCCACTTGCCTCTGCCTCCGGAGTGCTGGAATTAAAGGTGTGCACTACCGCCACCTGGCTTTTTATAGTTATTTTTATGGAGTCTAGAAAGAGTGTGTGTCTTTGTGTGTGCTCATTAAGTTTTAAAGGGAGGCCAAAGTTAGTTATAAAGTTATGTTGCCCTAACACTATTTTCTTACCTGTATGAAACAGTTGATGACTACCAGCCAGTTCGTCTGTTAAGTGAACCTGGAGAGTTGAGACGAGAATATGAAGAAGAGATAAGCAAGGTGGGTATGGAATAGTTTAGTTTTTTATTTTATTTTTTTTTATTTTGTTGAAAATGTCTAAAAAGAAAAAATGTCTTTGCTATGCTTTCAATCTCAGAAATCCCATTTATATATAGGGCATGTTTATGTAACTATCATATACTGAAATGCTAGTAATTTAATGTACTTTATAGTCCCTCTTATCCCCCATTAAGATAGTATCATGAAACTCAATCTGGCCTGAAACTCTTTTGTGGCCCAGGATGACTACTTCTGATCCTTCTACCTCCATCTCACAGTAGTGGGGTTATTTGAACAGTGATGTCATACCTGTTTTGTTTATGTTGTGTGTTTTTTGTTTTGTTTTGTTTTTTTTGTTCTCTGTTGTTTTGGAGCCTGTCCTGGAACTCACTCTGTAGACCAGGCTGGTCTCGAACTTACAGAGATCTGCCTGCCTCTTCTTCCTGAGTGCTGGGATTAAACGTGTGCACCACAAACACACGGCCATACCTGGTTTTAAAAGTTGTTTTGTTGTTGTTGTAAGACATGGTCTCACAGAGGTCCTGCCCCAGCTCCCCAAGTACTGGGATGAAAAGCATGTGCCACCTAAGTATACCTAGAGGTTCCAAATTTTTATTTTTAATGTGTTTTTTTTTAAAGATTTTATTTATTATGTATACAATGTTCTGCCTGCATGTATGCCTGCAGGCCAGAAGAGGGCACCAGATCTCATGATAGATGGTTGTGAGCCACCATGTGGTTGCTGGGAATCGAACTCAGGACCTCTGAAGAGCACACAGGGCTCTTAACTCTGAGCCATCTCTCCAGCACCCCAAATTTTTATTTTTATTTTATTTATATGGATGTTTTTCCTTCAGGTGTGTCTGTGCATTACTTGTGTGCTTAGTGTCAGAAGCCAGAAGAGGGCATACATGGGATTCCCTGGAACTATAGTTAGTAAACCACCATGTGGGTGGGTGCTGGGAAGCAAACCTAGGTCCTCTGAAAGAGAAGCCAGTATTCTTAACCAGTGTGCCATCTGTGTGGTCCAAGGTCCCTTTTTAAATATTCAGCAACAAGCCGGGCATTGGTGGCACACGCCTTTAATCCCAGCACTCGGGAGGCAGAGGCAGGTGGATCTCTGAGTTCGAGACCAGCCTGGTCTACAAGAGCTAGTTCCAGGACAGCCTCCAAAGCCACAGAGAAACCCTGTCTCAAAAAACCAAAAAAAAAGAAAAAAAGAAAAAGAAAAATTCAGCAGCAATAATAATAAACTAGCCTCTATTATATATAATTAGTGAGAGATGCTTTTTATTTTTAGATAGGATCTTGCCAGGTAGCAGTGGCTGCCTTAATACTTACTATATAGTTAGTGATGCCTAAACATTTAAATACAAAAATTTCTTGGATTTCTCTGGAATTCTTACCTTAAAAAGGATGGTAAAGAAATGGTAGATTGGTGACCTTGTGGAGCAAGGGTAGTGTGTCTGACTCCAAGAAGTGGTAGATTGTGGGTTTAGTGAGGAAAGTATACAGGGGTGACTGAAATACACATTGGGCAAAGGTTCACCTTCCAGTGAAGCATTTGAGCCTCGATAGTATAGTACCAGGAGGACACTTACGTTTTTGAGACAGGGTATTGCTCTGTGTCCCAGGCTGTCTTAGAACTCACTGTGTAGCCTAGGCTGCCCTCTAATTGCCTTCTCAGTGCTGGTATTATAGGCAAATAGCTACATTTGAATTAGTAATTGACTTTTCCTCCACAAAGAAAATAATTGATTTCTGTGTCCTGAAAGTTCCTTTAGGAGTTTTAATTATTACTAATTGAGAAATAACAAGACTCAACAGGCCAAGTGCTGGAAATAAAATACACCAGTTCAAATAAGTACTTGTGGGACAACCTGCTATTGTGGAAGCAAACCCAGTGCTGCTTTTGTTAAAGACCAATTTCCTGAATTTCTAGAGAATCACTGGGGGTTGCTCTTCTAACCCAAAATCTGTGTTGGTGACATAGCTAAATTTGAAATTGGGCTGTGTATTTAACTCAGCACCAGCATACTATCAAGGAGTACAGTAACTGTGTGTAACATCACAAAAGGGGTCTCTTTCCCTCCCACCCCCCAGGCGGGAGGGAATGAAACTTCAGAAGCAAACAAGCCCCAGTATGGTATTAGCTTTATAATGAAAGAGGGCTGATATAGCTGTTGACTTATAGGAAGCACAGTTCTATGCAGATGACAAGTTTGTTATTCATGGTGGCGGCATCTAAGACATTAGTAAATGAAAGGATTCACAGTGAGCTTAGGGTCAAAAGCTGCCAAAGAATGAATCACAGAGTTCAGGAGTAAATTCTAGAGGAAGAGAGATGAGCTTTACTGACTGTACACAAGGAACCTGGAATCTGTTGTGGTAAGCATCCATTTTGAACCAGCTGCAGCAGCTGTTTTCTTAAATGTTATAGAACTGGAACATAACCCAATATAACTTCCAAAAAGACTACTTGTTTGATTAGGAGAAGGAAGGGGTTGGAGATAGGGTTTCAGATCTAACCCAGGCTGGCCTTGAACTTGCAGTAGTCCACCTGCCTCGGCCTTTAAGAGCTAAGATTACAGGTGTGTATTACCATACCCAGCTAAAGTCAAATGTTTGGGTCTTTTTTATTATGTCTGTACATGTGTACCCATGCATGTAGAGTCCAGAAATTGACATCTGGCATCTTTCCTGATCATTCTCGACATTGTTTTTTGAACCTCAGTCTGTCATGAAACCTGGAGCTCATCAATTCAGCTGGACTGCTAACCTATGAACACCTGGGATTTAGACTGATGCTGACACATGCACCTTTTATGTACTGCTGGGAAATCAAACTCAGTTCCTTATGCTTGCATAGCATGCACTTACCACACTGGGCCATCTCCCCAGCCACCTAAAGTCAACATTCTGTTTGTCAGTTATATAGTGTATATGCAGAGGGTGTTGGGTGTCCTCTGTCATTCTTCACTTACTCCTTTTAGGCAAATGTCTCCTGAACCTGGGACTTGCTTTTTCTTCCCCCCTAATCAGCTTGTCTGGAAGCCAACAAGCCCCAGTGATCCTCCTATTTTCACACACAAATAATATTTCAAACAAACAAACAAATGCCAGGCATGGTAGTGAATGTTCTTTAGTCCAGCACTCAGGAGGCAGAGGCAGGCAGATTGAGTTCCAGGACAGCCTGGTCTACTGAGCAAGTTCCAGGACAGCTAGGGCTGCAAGCACAGAGATGAGACCCTGTCTTCAAAAAAAACAAAAAAAGCAATAGTGGCAGCTAGGTCTAGGGTAATTCCTCCCTTGGCTCCCCTTCTACTTTTGGGGGTTCTTTCTCTTTTCCTTAGTAAATCTGCTAGAATGAGCAGCTGCAGAGACAGCTAGGTCTATCTTAGTCAGCACATGGCCTTCCATGAACTGAGGAAACATTGCTTGTCTGTGCTGCTTTGGTAGAAACTGGTAAGGACTGGGGACAAGAGGTTTGAGTCTTTGTTCAAACCTTTGAGTCTTTGAACAAAGACTCAAACCTTTGTTGGGCTGATGGGGCTAGACGTCCTGAGGTGTAGGACCTTGAACTGCTCTATAGCAGTTTAGTATGGAGACTTGAATTTCATTGGAGATAAATTCTTGATAGTTTTCAGTTCATTTTCTTTTGCAAATACTGTGAAATATGAGTATATAGAAATTTCAGAAAAAGGATGTCCTTAATGATTTTTAAGGTGGAGGCTGAACGACAAGCCAGCAAGGAAGAAGAAAATAAAGCCAGTGAGGAATACATACAGAAGTTGTTGGCAGAAGAGGAGGAGGAGGAAAAAAGACGGACGCAAAAGAGGAGAAGTGAGATGGAAGAACAGCTGAAAGGCGATGAAGAGCTGGCAAGGAGGCTCAGCGTCAGTATTGTAAGTTTTCCTGAAGAAGGCATCACAGTTAGAAGTTTTTTAGGATATCTTTGTTCTACTTAAGGGGAAAATGTTTTTTGTTTGTTGTTTGTTTCTGAATATATGCCACATGTATTTGGGATGTCCCCAGGGTCCAAAAGAGAGCATCAGGTCCTCTAGAGCAAGGGTTATAGGCAGTTGGTGCTGACATGGGTGCTAGGAAGTGACCTGGGTTCTCTAGTAGAACAGTGAGTGGTTTTAACTTCTGAACCATCTCTCCAACCTCAAGAGGAAAAAAAATTACTAGTAACTGAGTTCAGTTCCCAGTAACCACATGGTGGCTCACAACCATCTGTAATGAGATTTGGTGCCCTCTTCTGGCCTCTCAGGCAGAACACTGTATACATATACATAGTCAATAAATAAATCTTAAAAAAAAAAAAAAAAAAAAAAAAAAAAAAAAAAAGCAATGAAAGGCATGATGGTAAAATATACACTAAAACCTAAAGATTCTGAAACCTATTGGCTTAAAGAGGCTTATAAATTGAAGCCAAAGTCTTAGCACAAGCTATAGTACTACGCTTCTTTTAAAATACAGACTCTCGGGGGCTGGAGTGATATTTCAGCATTAACAGCACTAGCTGCTCTTTCAGGACCTGGGTTTGATCCCCAGCACCTTTTACACATGTTGTGCACAGTCATACATGTTGGCAAAACAGTCATACATGAAGAAATCAATAAAATAAAGTATATTGAAAATAAAGTACAAGTTTTCATACCTACTCTAAACCAAATTGACTTGGACTCTCTGGGGATGCGTCTTAGTGAGTACTGTCTCCAGTGAGAGCTAGGGTGTCTGAAATATTGAGGATACACAGCTGCTGAGAATTAACTCTCCTACTTTTGAAAAACACATCTGAGAATATATTTCACTAAAATGAAATATACCTAGTATTTTTTTATGAATTTTACCATTAATACATTAATAATGTACTCTTTTTTCTTTTTTTCTTTTTCCCCGAGAGTTTCTCTGTGGCTTTGGAAGCTAATAATGAACTCTTAAGCTCTTATCCCCTTTAGTTATATCCTTTTCTCAGTTTGAGTAGAAATTTAGAAAGATACACAAATCAGGAAATTAAAAAAAAAAATAACCAGCCGAGGGTTAACTCTTGCACTTTGGGAGGTGGAGGCAAAAGGATCACTGCAATTTCAAGGCCAGCCTGAGCTGCATAGTTGAAACCCTGTCTACAAACAAAGCAGAGAGAGATGGGAGGCAAGGGATTGTCTAGTATAATGGGTAGATGAGTAGAATCCAGATGGAAACATTTGAAGAGGGGAATTCAGAGTCACTTGTACCTGACTTTCACATGGTGTCCCAGAAAGTTTATTGAAATTTTAGTGTAGTTTTGGTTTAATGTAAATTTTAGAGATGACTTATTTCTGTGTAGTAATTTTTGCACCAGATATATCCTTGGCTCTTTCAGTTAATTACATGAGACTGTCAAGAGCTGACAAGATGACTTAGTGGTTAGGAGTACTTTCTATACTTGCAGAGAACCCAGGTTTTATTCTCAGCACCTGCCATAAATGTCAGCTTACAACCATCTATGACTACAGTTCCAGGGTATCCAACGCCCTCTTCTGAACTCCTGGGGCATCAGGCGTGCATGTGGTGCACAGACATATGTGCTGGTAAAATAAGTAAATCTTCATTAAAAAACAAAACAGTGAGCCAGCTGGTGATGGCATCCGTAATCCCTGCACTCAGTAGGCAGAGGCCAGCCTGGTCTATAAAGCAGGCTCCAGGACAGCCAGAGCTGTTTCACAGAGACACCTTGTCACGTGAAAACAAACAAACAAACAAACAAACAAACAAAAAATAGTGAAATTATCAGCTTGGAGATTAATTAGTATCATCATTTCCTTGAGGGGAGAGTGTATTTGTATGTGTCTTGTTTCATTTTTTTTTTTAGCATTTATTTATTTATTTGTTTGTTTGTTTGTTTATTTATTTATTTATTATGTATGCATTTTTCTGCCTGCATCCCAGCAGAGGGCACCAGATCTCATTCAAGGTGATTCTGAGCCTGGAAATTGAACTTAGGACTTAGGACCTCTGGAAAAACAGTCAGTGCTCTTAACCACGAGCCATCTCTCCAGCCCCGTGTTGTTTCATTTTATATATATAGTAACAAATGTGTTTAATTTAGATAAATTTAATGAGCTTATTTTTGTTTATATAGGCATCCCTTGGCATATAAATTAGTTTTGGAATCTCCCATGTATATAAAAATCTAAAGGTAATAAAGTATTACATAAAATGGCACAGCTTTGTGTATAACCTAAAAATCCTCCTGTATACTTATTTTTATTACATTTATATATTTGATTGTGTGTGTGTGTGTGTACACATGTACCATAGCATCTTGTGGACAACTTGTGAGAGTTGGTTTTGTTTCTATCATATGGGTCCTGAGATGGAACTCAGATTGCCAGATTTAGCATGAAAACCTTAGCTACTGAACCATCTTGCTTCCCATGGTCTTTAAATCATGTCTTATGATCTGTAATACAGTGTAAATGCTATGTGGATGCCTGTTGCAAAATAAAGTCTAGAATGAAGTATGTGCATGCTCAGTATTCCTCAAAGAATTTAAAGAATTCAGTTTCTGAAAAATTAAGAATTTTGAGTTCATAGAATTCAAAGCTTTTTTTCATAAAGTTCTCTTTAATAATGTTTTTGTATGTTTTTCTTGTGATTGAAGAACAGTAACTATGAGAAAAATATCTCGGCTTCTCCTTCAAGTTCCAGAAAATCTGATGCAGTCTCAAACAAGTCACAAAAGAAAAATACAAACAAACAAAAAAACTTTGGAGACATTCAAAAGTAAGTGAACATGACTGCCGTTTATCCATTGATGATCTTCTGTATACTTTGGGTTTGTTCATATTGACCACTGATTCTTCAAGTTTTGTTACTGAGCTTATGTTTTTTAAAGATTTTTTTGAGATATTTAATATGACCTTTTCTACTTTTACACTAAGGTACTGTACTGAACCCTGTAGCACGCAAAATAAAAGACCCAGAGACAGGTATTCAGGTCAAGCTTCAAGCTGAATATCAGAAAAGCAAAGCAGCCAGCCACTGGCTCTTATCTCTTCTTCAGCCCAGACCAAAGGGGGATCCTCAAACTGCTCTGACTTCACTGTTCCTCAGATTTACTCAGATTGCTATGCTCTCCTCAATGTGGCTGGAGAATGAATGCCAGCTCTGAGACCCTGTTCCTGTCTAAAATACCTCTCATGAGTCCTGGGATTAAAGACATGAGCTCTGTTACTCTTTTAGACTGATTCAATCTCATGTAGCCCTGGGTGGCCTTGAACTCAGAGATCCATCCGCCTGTCTCCTGAGTCCCAGAATTAAAGGTGTGTGCCACCACTGCCTGTCATCTATAGCTTGTGGCTGACTTTGCTTTTTTAATCTGCAGGCAAGGTTTAATAAATCATAAATATATCACCACAAAACAACCCCCATATCCACCCCCTGCAGTGCTAGGTGGGAAGCTAGGACCTCCAGCTGCTAGCCAGGCACTCTGACCGTCCTAGACTACTCAGGGTTTCAAGTTGTGTCCCTGGAGATGAAATCTGCCCCAGTAAGTTAAATAGCCAACAAACACACCTTTAGGCATAAGTGGTTCATCTCCCTTTAGCATATTGTTTTTTCAAAGCATTTAAGATTTAGTAACTTTTAACATTTTTTTTTGTTTAAAGATATTTGTCACCTAAATTGAAGTCTGGGTCAGCATGGCCATGTGAAGCTCTATGTGGAGAAGATAAAAGCTGCTTATCTAAGGTATGTTGGTGCTGAAGAAGCTCTAGGGCATTGACTCCTGCTGTGGGTTACTGGGACTTGTGCTGTCTTCATCTCACTTTTTCTCCAATGGACCAGGGACAGATACTTTTGTCTCTGTTATCAGAGGGGCTCTGCCATTGCTACCAAACAAGTGAGCTTATCTGTATCCAGGAAAACTTTTCTTCCCCACCCCACTCAACCCTGGAGACAGGGTTTCTCTGTGTAACAGCCCTGACTATCCTAAGATTCTGTAGACCAGGCTAGACTCAAACTCAAGAGCTACAACTCCTGAGTGCTGGGATTAAAGGCATGTGCCACCATGGCCTGATTTACTTTTATTTTATGTGCATTGTGTTTTACCTGTATGTATATCTGTGTGAAGGGTGTAGGATCCCCTGGAGCTGAAGTTAGACAGTTGTGAGCTGCTGTTTGGGGGCTGGGAATTGAATCCAGGTCCTTCAAAAGTAGCCAGTGCTCTTAACCACTAAGCCATTTCTCCTCATAAATGTTTTGCTTGTATGTGTATATGTACAACATGTGGATACCTGATACTCAAGAAGATCATAAGAGGGCATTGCCCTGGGGCTGAAGTTACAGGTGGTTGGAAGTTGCCATGTGGGTGCCAGGAATCAAATCCTCTGCAGTCCTCTGCAGAAGCAACAAGTGCTCTGAACTGAGCCAACTCTCCAGCCCCAAGCTGTTTCCACATATAGGCAGCAGGCTGGACTTTTCGGCAAGGGTTTCTAATCTCTGGCAAACATGACAGCAGCTACACAGCTGAATAGGTTACACCTGGCACCACTTTACCTAGAAGATCTTACAGTGCAAAGCAGTGTGTTCTAGGAGGGTGGTGTCAGAGTGTGATGGCACTCAATCCCCAAGTCAGAGTGGTTTCTGGGCAGGTAGTATGGACCTATAATCCTTCACATAGGCAGGTGGAGGCTGTGGTCAGAAGATTGTGAGTTGGACTAGATAGCAAGTTCCATGCCACTCTGGACTCTTTCTATTTTCAAAAAATTCAGTTATTTATGGTAAAATCCCCAGTGTGCAGCTCTCAGGGGTCTATAAGGAACAACCTAGTCAGTTTAAGTCACTTCAAACTTTTTTTTTTTTTAGTGTGTTTATTTTTTTCAGGTGGTGGTGGTACATTCCTTTAATCCCACCACTCTGGAGGCAGAAGGATCTCTGAGTTTGTCTGGTCTACAGAATGAGTTCCAGGACATCCAGGGATACAGAGAGTAAAACTCTGTTTTGAAAAACCAAAATAAGTAATATTTAAAGGAATTGTGTGTCTTGCCTTCAAGTATGTCTGTATACTTGGTGCTTGTGGAGGCCAGAAGAGGGCAACAGATCCCTTGGAACTGGAGTTACAGATAGCTGTGAACTCTTATGTGGGTGTTTGAAATTGAATTTTGATCCTCTGGCTTGGGCCCTCTGGCTATACAGCCAATTTTCTTAACCACTGACTCATCTCTCGAGTCTTGTAAGTTCTTTACTTAAAGGCTAAATAAAAGAAAGTGGTTTTTGTTTTATTTTTGCTTTTTCAAGACAGGGTTTCTCTGTGGCTTTGGAGGCTGTCCTGGAACTAGCTCTTATAGACCAGGCTGGTCTTGAACTCATATAGGCTCCAAAGCTATAGAGAAATCCTGTTTAGAAAAAACAAACAAACAGGATGTCACATAGCTTAAGATAGCTTTTAACTTTTGCTATGTAGCCAAGGATGATCTTGAACTACTGAGTATTGGAGTTTTGAGTGTATACCATCATGCGTGATGTTATGTGATGCTAGGGTTTGAATCCAGGATTTCTTACATGTTAGGCAAGCATTTTGTCGATTGAGCTACATCTCCAACTCTTACCTGTTTGGTTTTTGCTTTGGGTTTGTTTGTTCACTTGTTTTTAGGCAAGGTCTTACTCTGGCTGTCCTGGAACGCCTGTTGAACTCATAGAGATCTACCTGTCTCTGCTTCCCAATTGCTGGGATTAAAGGCGTGTGCGCTCCCAGCTCACACTTTTTTTTTTTTAATATTATAATAACCTTGTTACCATTCCCCTTGTAAGGCCATGTATCTCAAGTTTTTTTGTTTTTTTTTTTTTGTTTTGTTTTGTTTTTTTTTTGTTTTTTAATGCTTTTTGGCTAGGCTGTGATGGTATACGCCTTTAATCCCAGCACTGGGGAGGCAGAGGCAAAAGGATCTCTGTAAGTTCGAGGCCAGCCTGGTCAACAGAGTGAGTTCCAGAACAGTCAGAGTTGTTATACAGAGAAACCCTGTCTCAGGAAAAAAAACTTTCTGGCTGCCAGTAGTAGAGCACTATTCCAGGATCTGATAGGGTCCTAGGTTGATGCCCAGCAAAACCAAAACCAAACAGAAAACATTGAAGTACCTTGCCCATATGCCTGTAGTCCTGGAACATGGAAAGCTACAGTGCAGAATCTCTTGTCCAAGAGTTTCAGGTCAGATTGTTGTCAGACCCTATCTCAAAAAAGAAATTTCCTCAAAAGAGATTTTTGTAGGCACTTCATTCAGGCGGTTAGTGGTGCACACTTTTATTCCCAGCATTCAGGAGGCAAAGCCAGGCAGATCTCCAGTACAAGACCAGCCTGGTCTACAGAGTGAGTTCCAGGACAGGCTCCAAAGCTAGAGAAAGAGAAACTATCTTAAAAACTGAAGGAAAAAACAAAACAAAACAAAAAAACCCAAAGGACTGGAGAGATGCCTCAGGATCACTCAGTACTCCTCCAGAAGACCCAAGTTTGGTTCCCAGCATTTACATTAACCAACTGTAACTCCAGTTTCAGGGGATTCAGGGCTGTCTTTGGACTCTGGAGATTTGCACTCATGTCCATATATCCCCTGCCACACATGCACGCACGTGTACACATACACACACACACACACACACACACACATATAATTAAAATATAAAACCTTTAAAATGTCAGAGATCTATAAAGGTCAAAACATCTTGGAGTCGAAGTTTGTAAGAGGAAAGAGGCAAAGTCCTGATACTAGCTATTGGCCATATGTTAAATATTGTTGTGGAGCTTATTGTAGGTTTTCATGTCAGTGAAATTAATTATTCTAATCTTACTTGGCACACCAGGTAAAAATAGGATTAAGAAAGAATTATGATAGACATAGGTTGTGATCCTTGTTCCCATCAAGAAAGAGAAGAGAAGGAAAGGTGGGGGGAGCAAAGGTGATGAGAACATACCTTATTAGTAATATATGATGGTGTATAGGGACCATTATTCACCTATGGTGTGAGTGTAGGTGGCTTATATAATATGTTCCCTTTATATAATCAGTAATTTTGTTTTCTACAGGAAATTGGCAGTAGTGACATGAAGAGCCCTGTGTGGCAAGACACAGAAATTGAAAAAGATATGCCAACCCTTTCTCCGCAGATATGCCTAGAAACTCAAGAACAAGGTTCAGGGTCTTCGGCAGAGTCACCTGTGCCATGGTTATGTGCCGGGGATGCTGAACAGTGCCTTGAAGGAACAGTTGAAACACTATCAACCAATGGTGATGATTTATGTGTCGTAAATCATGAGGGATCTAAAGTCAAAGTTTCCTACTCTATTGAAGCTACAGTTAAGCCCCCCGGTAAAATAGAAAACAAAGAGTGCTCTGTGTCAGGTGTGACCCAGTTAGCTGACAGTAACAGAGTTCCAGAAAGTAGAGTGTATCATCTAGTAGTTGGAAAAGAGATTTCCGAAAAAGAAAACCAGGAGTCTGTGTTAGAAGCAGTGATGGATCCGTGCTTTTCTGCAAAAAGAAGGAAAATGTTCCTCAAATCGTCAGATCAAGAAGAAACAGAAGTGAATTTTACACAAAAACTGATAGATTTGGAACACATGCTTTTTGAGAGACATAAGCAAGAAGAACAGGACAGATTGTTAGCATTACAGCTTCAGAAAGAGGTGGACAAAGAACCGATGACGCTAAACCGACAGAAAGGATCCCCAAATCAGTACCAATTGCGCACATCTTCACCACCAGACAGGCTGCTGAGTAAACAGAGGAAGAATTCCAAAGATAGGAACTCCGAAAAGCCAACTAATTCAGAAACATCAAAATCTCAAAGGAGCACAAAAGATGAATATTGGCAACCCTTTAAAAGCACATGGAAGGATTCAGTTAATGGAAGAAAGAAAAGTTCTACTAAAAATGTTTGTAGTAATGTATCTAAACGTACTTATTCCCTACAGTCTAGTAATTCACAGAAAAGTATTATCCAAATGTTTCAGCGATAAACCAAGCAAAGCATGGCTGAAGAGAGTGTTATATAATCTAGCAAAGCTGTATTGTAAAGCTATCTCTTTTCCATCATAAAATCTTGAGATGTCATTAACTTCTACTCAGCAAGCACACTTACTCTCTTTTCTAAGGGTTGGTTACAAAGGAAGAGCCTACAAACATGTTTTTGCGAAAGTCAGTGATAAGGAACGGGCCTTAAGAATTGTTTCTGTTGTCAATACTACTGTGTTCTAATTGCAGCAGTCTTTACAGGTATAAAAATGCCTAGGTGGGACACCTTCAGGTGCCATGAATGGGTAAGGAATCCACCAGGGTGTCTTCCATATAACACTAAAGTAGCTATTCCCATACCTGCTTTAAGCATACTAGCTTTCCTTTGGTTTAAGATGGACTAGGATCTACATCAAGTAGTTGACAAAAGGGATATTAGGTGGGTAACACAAAAGGGTTTAAGAGTGGTATGGGGCTGAGTGGTGGGTTGGCAGTTAGGGGTCACTGAAACTGTAACCACAAACTGGGTCTAGAATGGGCACCGAATTTCTTGTGGCACAACATGAACCCTTCTTTAAGTGACAGAAATATTTTGGGTTTTCAGCTTTTCACACCATGGTATCTTGGCAAATATTGGGATATTTTTACAGATCCCTTCTAGAAATAAGAAATTTACTACAGGAAAACTATACCGTAGACTTCTATTGAACACCGTTGATACCACCCTTATTGCTTACTGGCTCATACTTTTGTGTTTGTATGCAGAGATAGATTGAAAGTGGTATGTGGAGTTTGCCCAGGCTTTCCCTAAAAGGTAAATCCAAAGGGAACAGACTTAATTTTGTGAAGTTTAACTTTTACTAACATCTTTCCAATAGTATTTCGTCTGGTGTCCTGGCATCCATTTACTGTGGACATAATGAACCGTCTTGGTACAGTGTTTGACTTGATCCACATTTTTGTCCACATATTTGAGCTTTTTCTTCCAAGTTTTGAGATTGTTTTTATGTTTATCTTGGCATAATTTTTTTTCTAAGAGCAATTTAACTTAATGCTTTAAGTGTTGGAATTCCAAATTAAAAGTTATCACATTGAATCTTTGTGGAATAGTTCATAACCAAAGGGAAGAAGAAAAAGAGTGATGTGGTTAGAATTTATGTACTTCTCCACTGGCTTGTCCAGGGGGGAGTCATCTTGACTGAAGTTGCTTTTGAGATTTGTCAATTCTCTTTTAGCCTTTCTGTTATTCCTACTGTTTATGCCTTTGTGTTAGAGAGTATTACATTTTTTTTTATTGGTCATTAGTGAATGTTGTTTTCCTCATTTTTGTGGAAAATATTTAATTTTATCAGAATATTAAAGCTGTGCAGATGTTGAAAATAAAATTAAAAAGAGACTGGGCGTGGTGGTACATGACTAACTAATCCCAGTACTTGGGAGGCAGAGGCATCTCTGAGTTCTAAAAATACATATAATTGATTAAAAGAATGATAAATAAAAATTGACTCTCATGTTTATTTTAGTAATAAAAAAAATGTCTATAAACCAGGCATGGTGGTACATGCCAACCCTATCGAGGCTAGAACAAGCAGATTTTGATTTGGTAGCCAAGCTGGGCTGCATATTGAGACCATGTTTGTGGTGCTAGAGGGGAAACCCACAGCCTCATATGCTAGGTAAGCATTCTCTCACTGAGCTACATCCCCAGCCCAAGTGAAATTCTGTCTCAAAAACCAAAACAAAAATAGGCTTCATAAAAAATTAGACATGCATTATAACAAAACTACAAAACTTACAAACATAGTTGCTGGGCAATACGCATGTTAGTGCATGCCTTTAATCTGAGCACTTGGGACACAGGCATAGGGAGGCCAGCCTGGTCTACAGAGTGAGTGCCAGGACAGCCAGGGCTACACACAGAAACCTTGTTTCCACACCACCCCGCCACCCCAGATAAATAATAAAGAGGCTGGAGATAGAGTCCAGTTGAGTACTTCCCTGACAGCCCCAAGGTCTTAGGTTCAGTACTTAGTGACAGACACAGTAGGTGGGTGGGGAGAGAGAATATATGGGACTATTACTCCCACTTTGATGGGCAGGAGAATCAGGATCCCTCAGCTACACAGGAGTTAGAAGCCAACCTGAGATTTACAGCTTCTCTGCCCTGGGGTTCTCTTTAGACCCTGTCTCAAAACTACAAACCAACCAAACAACCTCCCCAAGGTTATATAAACAGTAACAGTGGCTGGAGGAGAGCAGATTCTCTGGTGGAGCTGCCTGCAAGTTAAACAGGGAGTTTCTTGAATGCAGCTTTGGTGAGCTTGAATTCTAAATTTTTTTTGTTTTGTTTTGTTTTTTTTGTTTTGTTTTTCGAGACAGGGTTTCTCTGTGTAGCTTTGGAGCCTATCCTGGCACTCGCTCTGGAGACCAGGCTGGCCTCGAACTCAAAGAGATCTACCTGCCTCTGCCTCCCAAGTGCTGGGATTAAAGGCATGAGCCACCAACGCCCGGCTAAATTCTAGTTGGTATTAATAATAAAAACCAGAGTCAGATATTGAGGGTGGGGGCTTGAAAGATCAGAGAAGCAGAGCAGCCAGCCATTAGCTCTTACCTCTACCTCAGACCAAATGGGCAATCCTGTCTCTTTGGATCCTTAGACTGAATGCTGTGACTGCCTAGACTGCATCTTCAGAGTGCCTTATATTCCTCTCTGCCCAGCCATGTTCCTTCCAGTCTCCACCTCCTTAGTGCTGGGATTAAAGGTGTGTTATGCCAAGTGCTGTGATCACCTTTGAGCTCTGTTTCTCTTTTAGACTGGAACAATTTCATGTAACCCAGGTTGGCCTTGACCTAACAGAGTTTCCATCTGCCTCTGGTTCTGGAGTGCTGGGATTAAAGATGTGTGCCACCACTGCCAGGCCTCTGGCTAACTAGTGTGGTTAGCTTTGTACTCTGCTCTTCAGGCAAGTTTTATTAGATCATAAAATATCACCATAGGGTGGTACCCATTCTGAAATGGGCTTTGCAATGATTCAGAGCTGCCTTTAGTCACCATGGACCTGTAAGCAACCTCTCTCTTCACCCGTGCTGCAGATAACCCCAGAAACCTCACTGGTTCACAAAACACATAGCTGGATGTAGTAGCTCATGCATTTAATTGCAGCATTCTGGAGGCAGATGCAGGTAGTTCTGAGTCCCAGGTCATCCTTGTCTCCATAGAGGCTCCAGGCCAGCCAGGGCTGGAGACAGTGCTTCGTAGTAAGAACTGTTGCAAAAATACAAAAGCAGGGGCTGCAGAGATGGTTTAGCAGTTAAGAGCACTGTCTGTTCTTCAGAGTACTGGGATATAATTTTCAGCACCCACATGTTGCCTCACAACCATCTGTAACTCTTCTGGCCTTCTTGGGCACCAGTCACACATGATGCATAGAGACACATGCAGGCAAAACACATACACATGTAAAAGGTCAAAACAAATCAACCCAACAAACTGGCAGGAACTATTTTAACAGTAGATATTCACTATGGAGACTAGCTATCCTGGCAGTCTGGAGCCAAGGAATATCACAAAGTCACATCACATAACTGAAGGAGACCCCACTGCCCACCCCAATCCCCACCCCACACAACACCACAAACGCCTGTTTTCACAGAAGTCCTTTATTGAGCAGGAAAGACAAATTAGTGGCTGCTTTCTGACTCAGAAAACAGCAGCAAATGACCTTTTTGGGGGGTGGGAGGTCGAGACAGGGTTTCTGTGTGTGGTCCTAGCTGGAACAAGCTCTGTAGACCAGGCTGACCTCGAACTCACAAAGATCCTCCTGCCTCTGCCTCCCAAGTGCTGAGATTAAAGGTGTGTGCCACCACTGCCTGGCACCGATGTAATTTTTAAGAAGAGAGGGAAGCCGGGTGGTGGTGGTAGTGCACACCTTTAATCCCGGCACTGGCGAAGCAGAGGCAGGTGGATCTCAGAGTCTGAGACTAGTGTGGTCTACAAGGTGAGCTCCAGGACAGGCTCCAAAGCTACACAGCGAAACCCTGTCTCAAAAAACCAAAAAGGAAAAAAGAAAAGAAAAATAGAGAAGGTCTGTGTTAGGGTGGGCTAGGATATGGTGGTATCTTTTGATTAAGCATGTTAATTAGGTGAACCAAAGGGGGCTTTGGCTTACTGGACCTTGGTAGTCAGCCTCAGGAGGAGGAAGCAGCCAAATAAGGGCACAGACCTTGGTGGCTACCATTAGGATAATGCAATCTTAAGTTTTTTTAGGAATGCAAAGGGAATGGGGAGAAGGGCAAGCAAGGCCTGCCAAGGCCATGTGTTCAAGGGGGCTAGTGTCCCTTCAATAACAAACCTTACACAAGAGATTTGTTAGGAGAGGCACAAGAGGGTGGCTGCCTCTGCTGGGGCAAGAAGCAGCAGGGAACTGAGCAGGAGACAGGCTTATAGAGAGCATTCTTGGGGGCAGGGTTTTCCAGGGTGGGGATTGGTGTGATTTCAAGTCCAGAGCCCAAGGATTGGTGGGTTTTCAAGCTAAGGAACTGGTGGGTCTTCAAAACCTGGAAGTGAGCTCAGACTTTTTACCCTACAGGGAAACACTGAAGCAATCTAAGCATAACTGGAGATGTAATTTGCTGCTTCCAGCAGCTCAGGGTGTGGGAGAGGATGGACCCTACAGACCTTGGAGAAGGAAATACATCCCATCTGTTGCTTGTGTCTCTGAAATAGCTCCATTAGTCCGCTTCTAGAAGAGTTGGAGGGCTTTGGAGGCTAAAGTCAGACTGGCACTACTGTGACAATAAGAAAGTAAAACACGGGGCTGGAGAGACAGCTCAGCGGTTAAAAGCACTGGCTTCTCTTCTAGAGGACCCAGGTTCAATTCCCAGCACCCACATGGCAACTCACAGCTGTCTATAACTCCTGTTCTGGGGATCTGACAACATCACACAGACATCCAGGCAAAGCATCAAAGTAAATAAAATACAAATATTTAGAAAAAAAAAAAAAAAAAGCAAAACACAAGGAGCTGGAAATGGCTTTGCTCTTCCAGAGGAACACATGGCAGATTACAACTGTAACTCCAATGCCCAGTTCTACGGGATCCACAGACACTGCACACACATGGAACACATACATGCATGCAGACAAAACACCTGTATGTGTACAAATAAAATATAAATAACATGTAACGAGGTTCTTTCCAGTCTGGTCCCACAGCCGCCTCAAACTCAAACACACCAACACTATATTAGTTAAAAAAACTGTTAGCCAGTGGCTTGGGCTTCTTATTGGCTAGCTCTATCTTAATTATTAACACACTTCTATTAATCTATGTGACCTTGGCTTACAGGATAACTCCTGGTGCATCCTCTCTTCCCGGACTCTACATCATGACTCATGTCTGCCTACACTTCCCACAATTCTCCTCGAATGGTAGCCCCACTTATCCTTCCTGCCTGGCCACTAGCCAAACTGTTTTATTCATTAACCAATAAGAGAAACATGTATACAAACATCAAACATAAAATCTTTTACTTTGGGTGGGAGGCAAAACAGTCTCTCCTATAGTCCAGGCTGGCTTGGAATTTGCTATGTAGCTAAAGATAACCTGAAACTACTGATCTTTCTCTTACTATCTTTCAAATTCTGGGATTAGAGCTGTGTGCCACCACATCTGGATTCAAACCCCCACCCCTTTTAAGTATTTTAAATTTTAATTCCAGCAGCCATTTACCCCTATTGACAGGCAATTTCCTTTTATTTATTTTTTTTGTGGGGGACAGGTTTCTCTGTGTAGGTCAGGCTGTTCTGATACTCGATCTAAGGACCAGGCTGGCCTGCCTCACTAGTGCTAGGATTAAAGGCTTGTGCTACCACCTCGAACTGATAACTTTTTTCCTCAAAGCAAAAGAGCCTGAGAATTGGTTTAAATCATGGTAGTTTAGAATGGCATCTTAGAACTGAAGAGGAAGGGAAACAACCCACAGGTGTTTTCCTTTTATAGATAAGACTAAAATGACCAGAAACCACATTTATTATTTCTACTTATAAGCAGAGTCTGCTGTACCCCAGGCTGCCCTTGAACTCTCTAGGTAGTTTAGGATGATCTCATTTATTATTTCTACTTATAAGCAGAGTCTGCTGTATCCCAGGCTGCCCTTGAACTCTCTAGGTAGTTTCGGATGAGCTTGGATTTCTGACCCTCCTGCTTTCACTTCACAAGTACTGGGATTGCAAGGTGTGTGCCATCACACCAGGTTTTATTCTATGAATTGAATGTAGGGCTTCATGCACAGGCAGGTACTCTACCATTGACCAACATTCTCAACCCAGATGCCTAGAAATATCTAAACCTGTCTGGCGGTGGTGGCAAACACCTTTAATTCCAGCACTCTGGAGCAAGTGGCAGGCAGATCTCTGAGTTTGAGACTATCTTGGTCTACATGGTGTCAGGTCCAAGAAATTCCTTTTTCCAAAGTCTAGCATTTAGATAAAAGTTCTAGTGGTCTACAGAGCTAGTTCCAGTACAGCCTCCAAAGCCAAAGAGAAACCCTGTCTCGGGGGAAAAAAATCAAATATTATAAAACTGTATCTAAGACAAGGAATTCAAATATCTCCTTTATGGGAGACAGTTTGGAAAGACAAGGCTGGCTGGGGCTTTCCAGATCATGCAGGAGCAAGCTGGAGGTTCCAACCAAACAAACATCTTACAACCTTACCTTTGTTTCAAATGGTTATAACCACTGGTTATTTTTATGACTACTTTATGTCTGTGTCTATAACCTCACCTATTTGACTGCCAAATCCCCCATTTGGAGACTCCCTAACCCTAACCTATAAAAGCCCTTGTCTTCTCCATGTCCAATGCTGATCTCTTGAACCCCAATTTTAGGGCAAGACAACCCATGTACATGAATGAAAAAAGTTTGCTTTAATTAATTGCTAGCTTGAATTAATTTGGCCATGATGATTTGGGTGGGTGGTCTTTGTCATCGAATCTTTGGGATTAACACCAGGTGAGAAGTGCTGGGAGGAGCCACAGGTAATGAGTGAGACTTGTCCCTGGTTTCTTTGGGACCTGACACAAACAAGCAAACAAAAATCTGTAAGCTCCTATCCAGACAAAATGGGGTAATATCAGACTCATCCATTCTTCCAGGAGAGAGAAAACTTCAGTAAGGATCAATTAAGGACAGTGCACCCCTTTAATCCCAGCACTCGGGAGGCAGAGGCAGGTGGAGTTCTGTGAGTTTAAGGCCAGCCTGGTCTCCAGAGTTCTTGCAAAACAACCTAGATTCAGGTCACGGTGCCCAAATGGAGGTTCACGGCCATGGGAAATCCTCCATGGAGCCAGGCACAAATGTGATGTGCACACGTATGACAAGACAAAATAATCATACATAAAATAAAAGTCTGTTTAAAAAATTTAAAACAACCACAACAAAACAAACGATCAGTTGGAGAAAGGAGAACCTCAAGGGTCCACAAAAGGTTCAGGTTGACCATGACTAGAGTTGCTGATTCAAAAGAATAAGGGGTGTGTGTGTCCCACTCCATTTTCAGGCTGTTACTTAAATCTATCATTGACAATTTAACTGAGCCCTTACAAGACCCACAAGCCTGTGCAATTCCTCAGGTTCCTCTTTGAAACTGCCTCCTTATAAAATTAAGCCCTGAGACATAACCATTACATTCCCAGTGCTGCTCGCAGGGTACACCCTAGAAATAACAGAGCTGGGACTCTTGGATAATAAGATCAGATTTCTCTCTTGAAAGCAGGGCACATGAACCATTGGAAATAGAGCATAATGAAGTAACTCTCCAAAATAAACCTGAATCACAAAAAAAAGCAAGGCTAGAAGAGGAGTAACTATTAGCAAGAGGTACTGACCTCGGATCAACCAGACAGCTTAGAAGCAGACAGCATGGGAAGTGCATAAAGCCAGGTGCGCTGGTGCATAGAGTCAGGTATGCTGGTGCATAGAGCCAGGTGGGCCTACAGTCCAGCTACTCAGGAGACTGAGAATGATGCCGAGGGTTCAACGTCAGCCTACCTAAGAGGGAAATCCCATTTCAAAAAATCAAATAAGAAAAACCAAAAAACGTTTATTGATTTTTTTAAAGAAGAACTTAACTTTTAAACTTGTTTGGAGATGGGGAGTGCAGAGATGTCTTGCTGGTCTGTGTAAGAAATATTAAATAGCTGGACAGTGATGGCACACACAGAGAAACCCTGTCTTGAAAAAGAAACAGAAACAAAAACAAAAAAAAGAAAAACAAATATCAAATATGAGTCTTTTAAAATGAAATATTATAACCCGGCAGCGCATGCCTTTAATCCCAGCACTTGGGAGGCAGAAGCATGCAGATCTCTGTAAGTTCGAGACCAGCCTGGTCTACAAAAGCTAGTTCCAGGACAGCTTCCAAAGCCACAGAGAAACCCTGTCTCGGAAAAAATTATAAAACTGTGTCTAAGACAAGGAATTCAAATATTTTTATTCTTTCCCACTTTGTAAGACTTTTATGCAACTGTCTTTACACACACACACTCACACACTATAGCTTAGTAAAACCTTTGTTTACACAAAGGCCGCCATTGCATTCCATAACCTGAGTAGTGCATCTTTTCCCCTTCCTCCTTCATTCCCTGTTCACTAATTCTTTTTCAATTAGCCAATTAGTAAAGTCTAGTGAAACTGGCCCCCAAAGGGAGCGGCACTTTAGGAGGTGTGGCCTTGTTGGAGTGGGTGTGGTCTTATGGGAGGAAGCGAGTCACCGGGGGTTGGCTTTGAGGTTTATTTTCATCAAGATTTCCTCAGTGTGATTGTCAGTTGTCTTCCTGTGGCCTGCAAGATATAGAACACTCAACTATTTCAGCAGCACCATGCCTGCCTGTCTGCATGCCCCATCCATGCCTGCCTGCATGCCCCATCCATGCCTGCCTGCATGCCCCATGCCTGTCTGCATGCCACACCCATGCCTGTCTGCATGCCACACCCATGCCTGTCTGCATGCCCCATGCTCCCTACCATGATGGACTGAAGCTCTGAACTGTACGAGTACCCTCAATTAAATGTTTTCTTTATTAGAGTTGCTGTAGGCATGGTGTCTCCTCACAGCAATAGTAAACCCTAACTAAGACAGATGGCCTTGTCTGGGCACTTCAGTTGGAGTGGTGGTCTCTTTCTTTGCAACCCCAAACATATTTCTAATACTAGGAATGAAAGACCCTTGAGGTGAGGAGTCTCCCTGATCCGGCCGGTCCCCTAAGAACTCAATATCCGGTCCAGTTGATGCAAACAGCAAGAGGTGTTATTGCAGTTGTTTAACGAGCTAACCCCATGTTAGCTCAGGCCTTTCATCCATCCACCATGGCGGATGGCTAGGAAACACGCTTCGAAGCCACTGCATAGAGATCTTATAAGGCAGCGTAAGGGGAGTGTCTAAGGAGATGCACAGGCTCAGGATTGGTGTGCCTCCAGGCTTGGAGGGTTTGCCCTGTGTTGATTGGTCAACTGGTTGTTATGGCCCATAGGCCCTGCCAGGGGGGGTGCTATGCTCTGTGCATCATTGCTGTGCACACCCAGAGACATAAAGCATAGCACCACCAGCTGACTTCTGATTCGTTCCTTGCCATGAGGCAGGCATCTGACCTCCTACTGACCAAGGCAAGGTCAGGCAAGCATGTGTTACTGGCATGGCTGCGGGAATGTGCAGTCATCTGACCTCCTAGTGACCAAGACAAGGTCAGGCAAGTACGTGTTCAGCTGTTATGGCTGCTGAAATGGGGAGCTGGTCCCTTCAGGAAGTCACTATACTCTTCAGAGCTACAGGAATGTACACACACACTCAGCAATGGTAGTATATATAAAGTTTTAAATTTTATTTTATATTATTGGAGAGAGGCATCCATGCTGTTGGAGCCCTGCATTATGCTGACCCAGACCCTGACAATGGGTGGGACATGCATCTGGCATTCAGGCAGACTCTCAGGCAGCTCAAAGGACCCTGTGTTGCTTGGCCACATCATGGCTATGTCAGGCATTATGGGGCTGCATAGGGACTCAATACACACGTGCAATCTTCCCCTTTTAAGCGTGCACCTCCACATGCTCGCTCTCTCTCGCCCTTCATCTCCCTCTCTCTTCCCTTGCTCTCTCCCTTCATATCTATCTCTCTCCCTCTCTCTCCTCTCTCTCTCTCCCTCTCCTCCCTCTCATCTCTCACTCTCCCTTCTCTGCCCCCTCTTCTCTCTCTTTTTCTCTGCTCCCGGTTGGCCAGCACCCCCCTTCTCTTCTCTTTGCCTTCAATAAACTCCATGTGGGTTTGTTGACTTGTGGTTAATGTTTCATTGCCTGTGGCTGCAGCAAAAGAACAACACATTCTATGCATACATGAAGATGTCAGAGATTAGTTTTCTCTTTCTGCCTTGTGTTGTGGAACAATCTTTGTACACTGTAAATATGTATGAGTCCCACTGGTTAATAAAGAGCTGACTATAGCTGGGCAGGAAGAGATTGGAAGGGAGAGCTAGACTAGGAGGATGCTGAGAAGGGCAGAGTCCGAGGAATCTCGGGCCAGTCACAGAGGAAGAAGGCCTCTTTTTTCATTAGTTGTTCGTACAAACATACATATATAAATACATATTCCTAAACTGGGCGGTGGTGGCTTATGCCTTTAATCCCAGCACTCAGGAGGCAGAGGCAGAGGCAGAGGCAGAGGCAGAGGCAGAGGCAGAGGCAGAGGTAGAGGCAGGCAGATCTCTGTGAGTTCGAGACCAGAATAGTCTACAAGAGCTAGTTCCAGAACAGGCTCTAAAACCACAGAGAAACCCTGTCTCAAGAAACAAAAACAAAAAAACAAAACAAACAAACAAACAAACAAACAAAAACATATTCCTAAATACAACCTATGCAATCATTATAGTATTACTTGTATGTTTTCAGGCCTGAACTTTGGTATTGGATAACCAATTGGTGTGCTCTTCCTTGGGGAGACTATTTGCTCTCAGCTTTCCTCAGTTGCCTGTGGTTCTTTGTGAAGGATTGAGTCCTCCTGGGCATAAGTAAATATATTTTTTAAAATTTTGGTGACTTATGCATTAACTGTCCATTGGTATTGTACCTTAATCTGGCTGTAATATGTGCTTTTCTGCAGGTACTTGCACATGGTTGTTAGATAAGCATTTATTACAAAAATTGAGAGCCTTGGAGATGTCTCAACAGGTAAAGGTGTTTGCCTAATAACTTGAATTTGATATCTGGAACCCATAAGATGGAACTCCTGAAGCTGTCCTTTGAGTTCCACACCTATGTACATACAAGACACTGCACAGTAGACCCAAGACACTGCACAGTAGACCCAAGACACTGCACAGTAGACACAAGACACTGCACAGTAGACACAAGACACTGCACAGCAGACACAAGACACTGCACAGTAGACACAAGACACTGCACAGCAGACACAAGACCCTGCACAGTAGACACAAGACACTTCACAACAGACACAAAGACACTGCACAGCAGACACAAGACACTGCACAGTAGACACAAGACACTGCACAGCAGACACAAGACACTGCACAGTAGACACAAGACACTGCACAGTAGATCCAAGACACTGCACAATAGACCCAAGACACTGCACAGTAGACACAAGACACTGCACAGCAGACACAAGACACTGCACAGTAGACACAAGACACTGCACAGCAGACACAAGACACTGAACAATATACACGAGACACTGCGCAAGGTAAATTAATTAATTTGAAACAACAGAGGGGTTGAGGTGCTTTTGTGTTGGTGTGGGGGGATGAACCAGGGACCTCCCACTGAGCTACCTACACTCCAGCATGAAGTTAGTTTTTTCTTTCAATGTTCTGGACCATTTGTATTTATTTTTCTGTTTGAGTTCTTTCTGTTGAGGTGTTGATCTTTTTTTTCTCAATTTCCAGAGAATTCTTTATACACTTGGAAAATTGACTTTTTCTCTGTAGTGAGTTACAAAAAATTTCCCCAGGAGAGTAAGACTCCCCAAGCTCCTAGGAAAACATTGATTTTTCAATCTATATCCATGGTAACAAGTAACACTAGAAAGAGGTTATAAACCTAGCTAATCAATCAATGACAGCTTGGTTCATGGAAAACACCTCTGAAAACTGGATGAAAATGAGGACATGACTGCTCCAAGGCATGGCTGATGAGAAGGAGTTTGTTGTAGATATGAGGAGAGTACAGCCGGAGGCATCTGGAAGAGTCCAGACTTAACAGGGCCATAAGAGGAGGGAAGGAAGAGAGAAAGGAAGAGAAGAGAGAGAAAAGGAGGTCAATGAGAGAAACAAGAGCCCATGGTGGAAATAGCAGGTTTATATAGGAATGAGAAGCTGGGGGAGGGGGAGAAGAGTCCCTGGGCTGGAGAGGGCTTTTGGGGGGTTGGGAGGAGTCACAGATGCTGGGTGAGCCCAGAAGCCAAACATACACTTTGGTATGCTAACGGACACCATGTCAGCCACTGCCCTGGGTTTCTTTGGGACCTAACACAACCCAATCCCGAACAGGCTCTTTTTGTTTGTTTGAGACAGGGTTTCCCTTTGTAACTCTGGCTGTCCTGAAACTCAGATTCACCTGCCTCTGTCTCCTGAGTGCTAGGATTAAAGGCGTTTTACATTTTTTCGGGGGCGGTGTGTGTGGGGGTTTGAGGCAGGGTTTCTCTGTGGCTTTGGAGGCTGTTCTGGAACTAGCTCTTGTAGACCAAGCTGGTCTTGAACTCACAGAGATCTGCCTGCCTCTGCCTCACGAGGCTGGAATTTAAGAAGTGTGCCACCACTGCCCAGCCAATTTTCACATTTTTTTTTTGTCTCTCATGTTGACACTAGTTTTTCATTTCATGTGAAGAGACTGTTTATATGTCTATTATGATGATTTTTAAAAAGCCATGCAACTGATTCTTTTAATGTGGTGCAAGCCTTCAATCCTAGCACCCAGGAGGCAGAGGCAGGCAGATCTCCAAGCTCTAGGCCAGCTTGGTCTACAGAGTGAGTTCCAATCCAGCCATGCTATTTAGTGAGAACCTGTCTCAAAAAAAAAAAAAAAAAAAAAAAAAAAAGACTTTGAATTTGAATCTATTTATTTTCTGTTTCTGAGTGTTTTGATTATATGTATGTATGCCTGGTGCCTGAAGAGGCCAGAAGAGGGCATCAGATCCCCTAGAATTGAAGTTACCAGACGATTGTGAGCTGCCGTTGTAGGTGCTGGTAATAGAACCTGGGTTTTCTGGAAGAGCAGACAGTGCTCTTAACTGCTGATCCATCTCTCCAGCCACCCAAGGACTTTGAGTTTTTATTGTTTTGGTTTTGCTGGGAGTAGGGAGGAATTGAGGCCTGCCTGGTAACATAGAGTTCTAGGTGGACCTACTACCTACTTCAAACTGGTATAACTTCACAATCTGCTAGGAAAAAAAAAATGGTCTGTTGTCCTGGTTGTTGTTTGTTTGTTTGTATAGTTTTATTTTGTTATTTATCAACTTGACACAAGCTAGAATTATCTAAGAGAAGGCCACCACAATTGAGAAAATGCTTTCATTAGATTGGTTTGTGGGGCGTTTTCTTAGTGATTGATGTGGAAGGGTCCAGCCCTCTGTGGACAATGCTACCCCTGGGCCAGTGGTCCTGCATGGTACAAGAAAGCAGACTGAACAAGCCATCAGGACCAAGTCATTAAAAGGTTCTTCCATAGCTTCTGCTTCAGTTCCTGCTTCCAGGTTCTTGCCTGGACGTCCCCTAGATGACTGCACTACAAGCTGAGAAATTAAATAAACCCTTTCTTCCCCAAGTTGCATGCTGTGACACATATACCTGCCCCTACACATAAATAAATGTAAAAAATTAAAGGTAAGCTTTAAATAGAGGCAGGTGCATGGATCTTTGGTAGTTCTAAGCTAGCTTGGTCTACATAGCAAGTTCCAGGACAGCCAGAGCTACATAACGTAGTGAGATCCTAAACTCTCCTAAAAAATAATCTTTAGGATAAGGCAGTCATATCTCTTATTAACATAGTAGTTTCCTTTAATCCACAGAAAATAGCTTACAAGTCACCAGTAGATGTTTAAAACTACAGATGCCCAATATTCATCTCTATGCTGCATGTTTTCCCTATACACACATACTAATGAGAAAACTTAATAAATTATGCACGGTAAGAACTTAGCAATAATAGAGTAATAAAAACACACTACACTGCATGTATAATCAAACATGTAAATGTGGTCTCAGAAGTTTACTTTGTTGACTTGTTTTGGAAACAGCATTTATTTTCTTTGTAGCTTGGGCTGGCCTGGAATATGCTGGTAGCTCAGACTAGTTTTGAACTGGAGTGCCTCCTGCTTCAGACTCCCAGGTGCTGGGATGGGAAGCGTGTGACCCTTCCTCAGCACAGACTGTCTTGTCACAGCAGGAACCACACTTCCTGTGACAGTGTGCCATGGCTGGGTGATGAGATGAAACAACATACCTGGCACAGCATGAGGCTACTGCTGACCTCCAGGTAAGACTTCGGGAGCATTGTCTGCTACCACTGTACCTGGTTCCCTGAGACATGACAGTCTCAAAGGCTGGATCTTAGACTACAGCTGGATGCAGGAAACTACAGGTAAACGGAGGCTGCCATGGGTTCTAGCAAAGTGAATCATTCCTAAATCAACAAGCTTCTTCCCCACCGGCCCCAGGCATGTTGATCAGGCTAGTTTCAAATGCCTGAGCTTCTGAGCAATTCTACTGCCTCAGCCTCTCAAGTAGCTGGGACTGTTGGTGTATACTACTGAGCCAGGAACCCACAAATCATATATTTATATATATATATGTTTCAGAAGGAAGCCAGAGAATCCACAAACAGCCTGGTTTTGTTGTTGTTATTTTTGTTTTTTTGAGACAGGGTTTCTCTGTGTAGCTTTGGAGCCTATCCTGGCACTCACTCTGGAGACCAGGCTGGCCTTGAACTCACAGAGATCCACCTGCCTCTGCCTCCCAGGTGCTGGGATTAAAGGTGTGTGCCATCAATGCCTAGCGCCTGTTTTTTTTTTTTTTAATTTATTTATTTAGCATGTATACAGTATTCTGCCTGTATGTGTCTCTTCATGCCAGAAGAGAGCACCAGACCCATAAAAGAGGGTTGTGAGCCACCGTGTGGTTGCTGGAGAATTGAACTCAGGACCTTTGGAAGAGCAGCCAGTGAGTGCTCTTAATCTCTGAGCCATCTCTCCAGCCCAAGGGCCTGTTTTGTGGTACCAGTTTTACCTCTATGGTAGACAACTAAGACCATGAAATGTGCCTAAGAAGGAAGATGGCAGATGACATGGGTGGATAGTAGGCTCTGTTCTTTTTCTTCTTCCTTCCTTCCTTCCTTCCTTCCTTCCTTCTTCCTTCCTTCCTTTTTCTTTTTGGTATATAAAGCCCATCAAGAGGATCACCCAGTGCAGTGGAAGGACATTTCCCTGAGGAGTGATGGGAATGGAGCTACTACTACAATAGAAACATAGATATACAGGGGCGAACAAAGGTACTCCTTAGGCTTACCTAAGAATTTGAAGAGCCAGAAAGGAATGTATTCAATATTTATCATTATGTAGCCAATTGCACTAAGACTGTGATGTAGCTAGGCCCAGCGTGAGTCATAAGCTGTAATGGAGACCCTAGCATGTTGGTGGTACCAAGAGTGTGAAACATCTGTCTAGGAAAGCCACAGGCAATGAGTGGAGACAGTGGCTGGGGCTGGCAAGGCCACAGGAGCAGTGCTGGTGAAGGCCATTAATACTCATATCATTACACTTGTGCTCCACACTTTGGTTTGGATGTGCAGCCTGTTGGGTTCATTCTTGCTGTGGTCTAGTTCTGACTTCCTGTTCTTCCATACCTCCCTATACACACTGCCTTTGTATGTTGCAGTTGTGTAAATTACTTCCTTTTTTTCCTTCCTCTTCTCTTCCATCTCCCTTTCTTTCTTTAGTATGTATACAGTGTTATGTATACAGTGTTCTGTCTGCATGTATCCCTGCAGGCCAGAAGATGGCCCCAGATTTCATTACAGATGGTTGTGAGCTGCCATGTGGTTGTTGGGAATTGAACTCAGGACCTCTGGAAAAGCAGTCAGTGTTCTGAACCACTGAGCCACCTCTCCAGCCCCACAAGACCACAATTTTCTAAAAAAAAAAACCCTGTATTTATTTATTTACTTACTGTGTACAAGTGTTCTGACCGCACATATGTCTGCATTACAGAAGGCATCAGATCTCATTATAGATGTCGTGAGCCACCATGTGGTTGCTGGGAATTGAACTCAGGACCTCTGGAAGAACAGCAGTGATCTTAACCTCTGAGCCACCTCTCCAGCCCCACAAGACCACAATTTAAGACTTTTCTTTATAAGAGTTGCCTTGGTCATGGTGTCTCTTCACAGCAATAAAAGAGCAACTAAGACAGATAGTCATGAACCTTTGGGGACTAGGGCAGCAATTCCTCCTTTCAAGCATTCAGGTACCTTTATCCAGGTCTCACCGTCATGAGAGTGAGAGATTTCTCAAAAAGGAGTGCTTTGCATCATAAGTATGTCCTCTAACATAATGAATGAGAAAAATGCAAAAATCTGATGGGGGTGCTAAGAGTATTTTACCTTGCCCCTTTCCACTTTTTTTCTGCCTTAAACCTTTAAAGTCATGGAAAAGATGCTTGCTGTGATAGCTGGAGCTACGCACCCTTGCACATGTACATTCTTTTTGAGATGTACATGTCTCACTTTATAGCCCTGGCTGGTGATGAAGCTGGCCTTGAACTCACAGATCTGTACATTTCTGCTGCCTGAGTGTTATGATTAAAGGAGTGAGCTACCAAGGTAGGTAAGTTTTTTTGTTTTGTTTTGTTTTTGAGACAAGGTGCCACTATATAGCCTTGGCTAGCCAGGAACTGCTATGCAGACCATACTGCCTGGTGTACACCTTTTTGTTTTGTTTGTTTTTCAAGACAGGGTTTCTCTGTGGCTTTGGAGGCTGTCCTGGAACTAACTAGCTCTTGTAGACCAGGTTGGTCTCAAAATCCCAGAGTTCCGCCTGCCTCTGCCTTTGCCTCCTGAGTGCTGGGCTTAAAGGCATGGGACATCACTGTTCAGCCCTGGTGCACACCTTTAATCTCTTGTCATCTAGATGCCAAGTGTCACCTTCCATTACTTCTGGCTCTTCTCTGGAAATGCTTAGATCCTGCTTGGTTATGAGTCCTGTGGCAGGGGACAGGGGATGATTTCCAGAGACGATGGTGACCAATACATCTTCAGAGCATGCAGAATGGTCAGTGTTTCCTCGGAGACAGTCGTTAGACTACTCCTATGTCTGTGTGCAGATGTACACAGCTTTACGTTCTCTGAGGGAAATCAACTGCAAGTTCAGAATCCCCCTTAGGGCTCTGGTTCCTGAGGAGACCCAAGTATGAGAACAACTATGTAATCAAGTGGCTGATAGCAACCCTGCTACCCACTGGGGCTCGGGTGTGCTAAGCCCCAATAAACAGTTCTATAAGTTGTCTTGTTGTGTGTATGCACTCACACATATCACAGTAGGTGTATGGTGGTCAGGGGACTTGTGGAAAGTGGTTCTCTCCTTCTACCATATGGGTCCAGGTATCAAATTCTGTTGTTAGTCATGGCAGCAAGTGCCTTTACCTACTGAGCCATCTTGACAGCCTAAGAACAAAATATTTTAATGGTAAAGTTAATGATGATGATGATAATGATAATTCACCATACTACTCCACCCATAGTTTCCTAACACCTTCCTGGCCTAGAAGTAATAAAAATTAAATTGAATTATGAAAAGAAAAGTTACTGCTGGGCGTTGGTGTCGAATGCCTTTAATCCCAGCACTCAGGAGCCAGAGGCCAGAGGATCTCTTTGAGTTGAGACCAGCCTGGTCTACAAGAGCTAGTTCCAGGCCAGTCTCCAAAGCCACAGAGAAACCCTGTCTCAAAAAACCAAAGGGGGGTTTGCAACTAATGGAATCTTCAGTGCAGTATTGCCTCACCACAATGCAGCTGCAGCTTCTGCAAAGCTGTTCTGTTGGGACAGTCATTTGGATAAAGACCAAAAACCACTCACGATCCTTTTGCATTGGCCTCCAATGTGCTAGGTCTGTGCTAGGATTACAGACATGTCACTATCCTAAACACAGACTGTTTTAAGTGACCAGGGCAGCCATCTTCTGCACTGTCTTGAGTGATTCCCTCTTAGCATCCTTTAGTTTGACCCTATCCTCCTGTATTTATTTTAGTTTGAAAAGTAGAACTCTTACGTTTAACTGGTAGCAATTTTGCCAAGAATATGTCACAGGTGCTACTCAGCGCTTCCTAACACATTGCACTAGGAATACCAAATATTAAGTTGTCTTTTCTTTTTCTGAATGTGTTATTAGGGACTGAATCAGGGTCTTGCTTCTTCTTGTGAGGAAAACAATCCCTAGCTCTCTTTAGAAAACAAAACTTTATCCTTTTTTTTTTTTTTTTTTTTTTTTGAGACAGGGTTTCTCTGTATAGCTTTGGAGGCACTCACTCTGGAGACCAGGCTGGCCTCGAACTCACAGAGATAGATCCGCCTGCCTCTGCCTCCGGAGTGCTGGGATTAAAAGCATGTGCCACCAATGCCCTACTAAACTTTATCTTAATATGGGCTTTTGTTAGGGTTGTGCCTCAGCCTCTGGAGCACCTGGGATCATGGCTTGCACCACCATGCCAGGCTAAAGTGTCCTAATTTATTAGTAATGTTAAGTGTTATCAGGCTGTCATCAGGACAGCCTCCAAAGCCACAGAGAAACCCTGCCTTGAAACCTCCCCTCCCCCCGCCAAAAAAAGTGTCATCAGTTGGTTAAAATGATGACTGCCAATTAGCCTCCTACAACTGAAATTTAAAAACCACAATAAGTTTTCTGGCTTCTTTAAAAAAAATTTAAAGATTTTTGTTTGATGTGTTTGACTGTTTGGCTTGCATGCATTTTTTGTGTATAATATGTGTTCCTGGTACCCTCAGAGGTCAGAAGACAGCATTGAATCCCCTGGAACTGGAGTTATGGATGATTGTGGCCCACCATGTGGGTGCCAGGAACTAAACCCAGGTCCTCTGCAGAGCAGCAAGTGCTCTTAACTGCTGAGCCGTATTTTCTGGTTTGTAAAATCAGAAATCAACTCACTATATAAACCAGTATTTCTTTTTTTTTTAAAAAAAGACTACATCTTTTTTAAAAATATTTCATTTATTTATTATGAATACAACATTCTGCTTCCATGTATATCTGCACACCAGAAGAGGGCACCAGATCTCGTAACAGATGGTTGTGAGCCACCATGTAGTTGCTGGGAATTAAACTCAGGACCTCTGGAAGACCAGTCGGTACTCCTAACCTCTGAGCCATCTCTCCAGCCCTAAACCAGTATTTCTATATCTATTTTCCTCCAGAGCAATGAGATATGTCCATACAGACACTTGTGTGTAGCACTATAGTAGCTTTAATTATAATTTTTGGAAGACTAATATTTAATTGGGGCTAGAAGAGCATTTGGATGTACAAACACATGTCACAATGAAGTACGGGTGTATTCAAAAAGGGTGAGGCAAAGAGAGTTTTATGTATCTTGGACTATAACTCCAGATTGACATGGAACTAGTAATCCTCCTGCCTCAGCTTCCTGGGATTTCACTTTTGTGCCACCATGCTTGCAACAAGAGGAATATATGGACGTGAAATGCAAAGGAGTACATGAAATATCCTCAGACTATAATCACTGGCTACAAGTGTCTATTGCATGATGGCTTCAGTCTGAGATTGAATAAACAGGTGCTAGGCCAACATCCTCACCGGGGTATCAGTTGAAAGGTACAATGGCCATTGTGTAAGGCTGTGCTTCCAGAAGTCTTCTGTGAATAGTTCTTGCTCTCCAACTTATGCAAATGGGATTCCCAGCTTTGTTTATTCCTTATGAAGGAAGACTTAACAGAAGTGACTTTATTTTAATTCTGACCATTTTCACAATACCATTTTAAACGTTTTTAGCCTTTATTTTTATTTTTTATGTGTATGTTTTGCCTCCATCTATTTCTGTGTACCACCTGTACGAAGTGCCTGAGGAGGCCAGGTATTGGATCCCATCGTATTGTTATGACAGACTGTTGTGAGCTCCCACATGGGTGTGGGAATTGAACCTGGGTCTTCTAGAAGAGCAACTAGTGCTCTTAACTGCACAATATCAATTTTTAAATTTCATATTGAGAGGTGCAAGTTCTAGTGGTTGTGTTCCTGGTATTGAAGAACCCGGAAAAACTATTACTCGGAAGGAGAACCAGAATGAAGGGAAGTGGAGGAGCATTTCATGTCCACAGGGAAGTTTTATGAATGGAGGAGAGTCTGTTTGTTGCCTAATTAACATCAATTCCTCCTCCTCCTTTCTCCTTTTCAAGTACCACATTCTGGAGCTTGAAAGCACCTTCCTCCACAAAGCCATATGCTATACTAAACCAGTTCCGTTTCTCTCCCACCCCCTGGCATAGGGACTGGGTTGGGAAGGGAATTGTAACTCACTTCAAACCAATGGGTTCTGAAGGAAAACCTCCAAAGAGACTTCTAGAAAATGGTCCCTTTAAAGCTTAGGAGGATGGTGCTTCTTCCTAGGCCTCCATGTGGTGTTCCAAAGTGCGACCTTGCCATCAGCCTGAGACAGCACTCACACAGGCAAGGGTGTGTCTTCAGAGTCAGAGTGGAGCTGAAGCCCTACAGCACTGTGCATAAACTCTCCCTTCATTTTCCCTGATGTTTGAGCCATCTGAGATGGGCTTTCCTAATACAACACATAATAACCCCAAATAGCTGAATGCTTTAACTGAATGTTTTCTCTACTTTTTGGATAGTGCTGGGATCAAATCAAATTTACAAGGGTCTTGTGAATACTTCTCCAATGAGCCCTAATATTTTGTTTCTGATGGTGGTAACACTGGGCCTACCTAAAAGAGTGGCCAGGGGACTGAACCCAGGTTGGCCACATGCCTTTATACTGAACCATTTCCCTGACCTTAATAACAGAAATCTGTATTTCTGGACTTTCTTTTTGCATTTGCTGTGTTCATTCTCCCAATCTTGTTAGCTTATTCTTGTCTGGGTCCAAAGTTCCATTTTATTCTCCTTTTCCCATCTTCTCTGCTTGCCTTTCCTATGTTTTTTTGTTTGTTTGTTTGTTTGTTTTTGTTGTTTGTTTCCCTTTTAGACAGAGTCTCACTATGTAGCCCTGACTGGTCGGGAACTCACTCTGTAGACCAAGCTGATGTCAAACTCACAGAGACCTGTATGCCTCTGCCAGATCTAAAGGGGGTCTTTCTTTCTTGATCTGGATTTTTTTTTTTCCCTTCTGAGACAGGGTTTCTCTGTGTAGCCCTGGATGTCCTGGAAATCACTCTGTAGACCAGGTTGGCCCCAAACTCAAGAGATCCACCTGCTTCTGCCTTCTGAGTGCTGGGACTAAAGGCATCTGCCACCACTGCCGAGCTTTGATCTGGACTTTTTGATCTACAACTTTAGGACCTACCAATTACACTGTGTCTTTCTTTCCCCCTACTTTTAAAAATAATTTCTTTTGGGTCTGGAGAGATAGCTCAGAGGTTAAGAGCACTGGCTGCTCTTCTAGAGGTTCTGAGTTCAATTCTCAGCAAACACAAGGTGGCTCACAACCGCCTATAATGAGATTTGATGCCCTCTTCTGGCCTGCATCATACATGCAGGCAGAACACTGCATACATAAATTCTTTCTTTTCATTTTACATGTATGGGTGTTCTGATCTGAGTGAAACATTTGTGTACCCCATGTGTGCTGTGCCCAAGGAGGCTGTCCAGAACTCCTGAGACTGGAGTTACAGACAGTTGTGAGATGCACTGCATCTTGTTGGAACTAAATCTGAGTCCTCTGCAAATGCAACAAGTGCTCTTAACAGCTGAGCCATCTTTCCATCCTTTAACTCTTTTTTTATTTTTTCTTTTGGGAGGGGGGCGTGAGACAGGATTTCTCTGTGTAGCTGTGACTGACCTGGAACTCACTCTGAAGATCTGGTTAGCTTGCAAGTCACAGAGATCCGCCTGTCTCTGCCTCCCGAATGCTGAATAAAAGATATTATAATAACTGAAATAATAAGTATTTAGAATCGTACAAGTTACGTACTATTACCCTATTTAAAAACTAAGCTAGAGCTTCTCTTTTCTAGTTGCAACCATTATCAACGTTTTTAGGACCATTTTCCAGTGTTCTTTTTACATATTTATTGTATCTACATATATACCTATCTTTGTTTAAAAAAAAAAACTCATTTTATATCTGAAGAAAATAAGAATGACCCGAGGCGAGAGATACTGTGACATTTGTTGAAGAAAAGGACTGGACAATCATTTATTGACGTCTACTACGGACTGGTTCATTTTTGACTAAGTTTTTTTTGTTTGTTTGTTTTTTCGAGACAGGGTTTCTCTCTGTGTAGCTTTGGAGCCTATCCTGGCTCTCGCGCTGGAGACCAGGCTGGCCTCCAACTCACAGAGATCCGCCTGCCTCTGCCTCCCGAGTGCTGGGATTAAAGGCGTGCGCCACCAACGCCCGGCTTGACTAAGTTTTTAATTTACACTTTAGAATATAGAAAACTTACTCATCTCACAAATCCAGAGGAAATACCTACTATATTTGAAACCTCGAGCGTAGCATGCAGGTTCTGGTATCTCAGTTCTGAAGCTTCTTTCCGACCCTGGGCTCTAACACGGCAATTAGGAGGAGGATACCTTCGGGGCTCCAAGAGGCCATTAAATGTTTTCAAAGAATGCGAGGCCGGCAGGTAGCAACGCGGCAGTC